TTCTATTTAAAATGACCAATTTTCAAAACGAAAATTACACCAAGAAACAAGAAACTATGACATACTGGCAGGACAAAAAGCAGTGAATAGATGACCACAGTGATGATGTAACCAGTGAAATCACTGCCTGCAATGATGTCTTATTTGGGTGTCAGTTTCAGTTTCAGCTGTTCCACTGGAAAGGCAGTTCAGATTTATGGAGAAGGAGAGAGAGCGAGCTTCCATGCACGGATTCATTCCCCCAAAACGCTGCAACAGGCAGAGCTGATCTGATCCGAAGCCAGGAGCCAGGAACTTCTTCTGGATCTCCCACACAGGTGCAGGGTCCCAAGGCTTTGGGCCAACCTTACTGCTCTTCCCCAGGCCACAGGCAAGGAGCTGAGTGGGAGCTGAAGGTGGAGTAGCTGGGACACAAACCAGTACCCATTTGGTATAATAGCACCTGCAAGGGGAAGATTTAGCCATTGAGTCATTGCATGAGGCCCCAAGCTGCTCCACTGTTGACTCAGTTCCCTGCTAATGTGCCTTGGAAAGCAGCATCAGATTGCCCAAGTGTTAGGTCCCTTTATGCATGTGGGAGACCCAGATGAAGCTCCTGTTGCCCAGGCTTCAGACAGATCCAGCTCCTGGTCATTCTAGCCATTTGCTAAGTAAACAAGCAGATGGAAATTTCCCTCTTTTAGTAAACTCTGGTTTTCAAATAAATATTTTTGAAAAGCAGTAAATAGAAACTATTTAAAGGAAGAACTATTTAAAAAACTATTCAAAGGAAGTTCAGACATAAAAGCTACACAAACACTGTCACTCATATGCTGTTGGAAACCATATCTAAACAACTAAAGTAAGTATAAGGACTACGTTTTTGGGTCTGGTACAACGGCTCAGTGGCTAAATCCTCACCTTGCACATGCCAGGAACCCATATGAGTGCTCAATATGAGTGCTCATTCATATGCTGGCTCCTCCACTTCCCATTCAGCTCCCTGCTTGTGACCTAGGAAAAGCAGAGGGGGATGGCCCAAGGTCTTGGGACCCTGCACTCACATGGGAGACTGGGAAGAATCTCCTGGATCCTGGCTTCGGATTGGCTCAGCTCTGACTGTTATGGCCACTTGAGGAGTGAAACGGCAGCTGGAATATCTTTCCCCCTATATCTCCTTCTCTTTATAAATCTGTCTCTGCAATAAAAAATAAATCTTAAAAAAGCACTATGTCTTACCAGAGAATATCAGTAAAGAGGCAGAAATTATATTTTAAAGAGCAAATAGTAATTCTGAGTTTGACAAATATAAATGGAATGAAGAATTCACTAAAGTGGCCCAAGAGCAATCTTGAACTAGCAGAAAAATCTGTGAATCTGAATAAAGGTCAGTTGAAATGATCTAGTCTGAGGAACTGAAAAGAAAAAAGAATAAAGAGCAAGGAATAGAACTGCCAGGGTTCTGTGTGACACTGCAAGAGGTTCAAATGTGTTCCCTAAAAGACATGGTGAAATCTTCTCAGTGGGATCTAGCTTTCCATGCCCTGTTTGCTAAGTTAAACACCATCAAGACAGGACTCTAATTTGGAATGACTGACATCTTTATCTGGAAGGAGACTTTGACAAAGTAACGGGCACAACCAGAAAAAGATGTTTCTCAAAACAAATGGTGCACTATGACAACCCTGCCACATTGTTCACTTCTTTATGGTTTCTTGTTGCCATTGTTCATTATCATTTTCTATTTGTCTACTTTCCTGAATTTTTTAAGGCAGAATTACACAGAAAGATATTTCATCTGCAAGTTCACTCCCCAAGTGGTCTAAGTAGCCAAAGCTGAGGCAATCTGGAGCCAGGAGCCAGGAGCTCTTCCAGGTCCCCCACATGGGTGCAGGGTCCCAAAGCTTTGGGCATTCCTTGACTGCTTTCCCAGCTTTCTCCAGATTAGGAAAAATTTCCTTTATTATCTCATTAAATACATTTTAAAACCCAGCTTCTCTTTTTGCACTTTCTGGGACTCCAATAACTCTTATATTTGGCCTTTGAATAGTGTCTCTTAATTCTTGAATATTTTTTCAGCTTGACCCAGCTCTGCTTCTAGCTTTTTGATTGTTTCCCCATTGTGACAAGAAATATCCACTGACGTTTTAATTGGCCCCGTTGTGTCCTTCATTTTAAATTATAATTCGGCTTGATTTTGTTTCAGTGTTGGTATTTTTTAATTCCTTATTCCTCAAATCCCTGGTTATGCTTTCTTGTTGTTGAAAAGAAGCTTTATAAGTATTTTGAATTCTCTATGCCCCATTTTCTCGATGTATTCCTCAGTTAAATCAGGTTGGCAAGGGCTTTTCCTCCTTTGCTGGGAAGTCTTTAGTAACATTCATCGTGCCTTTGTCTCTTCTTTTGCTCTTGGTCATTGTACTTTTGGTTAGCAAGTTCTTCTCCTTAGGGCGGGTTTCTAAGCTGTTACCCACAGGTCTACAGTTCAATTTTACTTATCGAACACTTATTGGTACACAATTCTTAGTTTGCAGTCACTTGTGCTACTCCCTCCAGCAAGCTTCAGGTCTGGGCTGACGTTAGACTTCCATTGTGGTCTCTGCAGCCCCAGCTCCTGGCTCAGCACTCTCGCCTCCTCTGATCCCGTACTGTTGTTGCACCATTGCCTGTACAGTTCTTCCACTTCTGGTTTGAGCAGTTCCAGGATTAGGGAGACACCAGGTGTCCCAAATAAGTAGGTTACTGGTGGAGGTGATCTTACTGAAACCTGCTGGCTTTTAGGTCTGAGGGCCACATGGACTTATTTTGAATCATAAGATACTGAAGTTGGTATTATGTTTGATGTGGGACTAGTGCAATGCACTGAGCTTGGGGAGTTTGCTACCAGCTCGGTGCATGCATCAGCTCATTGTTGTACCTCCAGTGTCAAAGCCTTTGCCAAACTGTATAAAATGGCACCTGACGTGCCACTGGTGGAGTTCTGGATCTGCTGGCTATTAGGTCTGGGTGCTACCCGGATCTATTTTGGGAGGAACCTGTAGTTTGCTCATCATTACAATTCACTGCACCTGAAATGAGTTTTCTCCCAGCTTAGTGCATTCACAGTCCTGTTCCACAGCCTTTGCCTCTCTACACAAGATGGTTCACAATTTGGCTCTACTTTGTGTTTGGGCTTTGAAATCAACCCTGTTCTCGCACCGCCTGTTTCGGATCTGTTGCTTTGTCTCTGCTCCTGGTCAAATCCAACAAACGAGCTGAACGACCTCCTGAGATCCTGATGAATTCCCTTCCCACTTGGTTGCTGGTGGAGTTCTGGCTGCTGGTGCAGTTCAGATTGCCACTGGCTGAATGATGCTGGAATGTCTGGTTACTCCAACACCACCCTGTTGTTTCCTCTGCTTTCCTATGTCCCTCAGTCTCCAGGTATCCCTCTGCTGTTTGTCCTCTCCTGTTTCCTGGAATGTGCCTTCTCTGCTTCACCCTGGCTAATGTTTAAACATGTCCTCACCCTATTCTGCCATCTTGATACTCTTCCTAATTTAAACAATGCTCATTCTAAACCTTGATGATGGGTGTAAATACACTAATAAAGATGTATTGACATAGTGATTATAACATTTTTGATCTGGCTCCCTGCCTGTAGTCTGGGAAAGCGGTAGAGGATGGCCCAAAGGCCTTGGGAGCCAGCGCCCATGTGGGAGACCTAGAACAAAGTTCTGGCTCCATTTGGCTAGGTTCTGGCTGTCACAGTCATTTGGGGAATGAATCAGCAGATGGAATATCTTTCGTTCTCTCCTTCTCTCTGTACATTTGCCTTTTTACTACAAATAAGTAAAAACAAAAAAACAAGCAAAAATCCTATGCATCTTGATATGAAAGTGAGTGAGGTTATCAAAATGCACTCCAGGACTCCATAGGGAAAAAAACTCAGAAGTAATCAAGAAAGTTATGAAAAACTATTAACCTTAGAGAGGCTATATGAAATATTTCATGTATAAGATAAAGAAATTAAGCCTATAAAGTTTTAATAAATACATGGGAAAAATATTCTCCCACACTTTGAAGCATAAACTAATTTCCTCCAAGAACAGGAATGACATTTTTTTCCCCCTGAATATGCAGGTGCCCTATGACCTAACAATCCTACTGATAGGAAACATATCCTATGCATATACTGGCAATGAGTAATGAAAATATCTGCATAACAATTCTCATTGCAGCACTGCTTGTACATCACTGATTGCACATCCACATGTCCACCAATAAACCAAATCATGGTACATCCATGTGCAGAGTGATGAAAAAAACGAAGTAGGCCAGAATAAATGATAAGAAAATCTTCCAAGATGCAAAAGCAATTGTAGACTGTGCCGTATCTGCTGGCATCAACCAAATGTGCATGTATGCACAGACACAGGAGAAAATACAAGAGTCAAAGAGTTGTTGACTTGACAGGAATTTCTGCGGGAGTGTAGCATGGGACGAGGCCATCACAACTCCTCCTGGACCTTCCTCATGCTGCTGGAATCCTTACCATGTGCCTAAGAGCTCAGGCATCACCACAGATCTTTGTGTTCACTTTTTTACTTTTCCACAAAACCACTCTTACAGCTGAAAAATGGCACACCTGGATGTACTTGGGGAAGCTGTGAGGCCAGCTTTCAGGCCTTACCAGAGAGGTCCTTTTACTTACCTTCATGTAGGGGCTGGTGCTGGGACAGGAGAGGAGGTAAGCAGTGTTGTCTTTAAGCCTGCTTTCATCTCAATCTGTTAGTTCCCTGCTAACTTTCTTTTCCTCAGTTATAGCCAATATGTGAGCCTTAAATTCTAGAAATAAATTCCTTGCTTAGCTTTCTCTGATTCCTTCTAATTGATCACCCATTCCCAAATACAAATGTCAGAAAATCCAACAATAGTCCCATAAAATAATATGCAAAAGTCTTATATTTGAGGTTACTAAAGCACATTTTTATTTTGCAACTGAACATGAAGAGTCATAGCTAGAGTTGTTTTCATGTTTGTACCTGAACACGAGTTTCAATCAAAATGAAATATGGCCAACAAAATACATGTAACACCATTTCACATAATATAAACTGTTCCTTAGACTACAACAGTTTTGATGCAATTGGCATTTTTAACCCATCTGTCGTTAGTATTTGTAGCTACTTTAAACTCCAATTAATGGTAGGAGTCTTAAGTTTTTGCTGAGATGAAGATGTGCACAAGGCCTTTCAAGCTGTGTTCGCACACACAGGACAATTTTCAAACTATCCAGTGTTCACTAAATTCAAGCTTACACACTTTAAATGACTCCTTAGCTTTTCTCTTATGTATGAGAAGAAATCATATGGGAAAAGAGAGTTTCATGAAATGGGCCGGGAGTTTGCCGAAAACAATTAAAGGGCTAGTTAATTCCATTTTGCCACTAGGTGAAGTAGAATCAAACAATGAATGGTGACAGAAATGAAAAATTATCTTTTAAGTAGGAAACAAAATAGACTTTTGACTTGCCCCCTTTGTATTTACATTTAGCACCTTTAAAAAAAAATCCCAAATTAAAACATCCTCTACATAGAAATAATTTTAAAATTACTGCTTAAAAATATCATTGATGAGTATAAACTATTAGTCCTAAAATGAAGCCTACACTGTAGAAAATAAAGACTAGCTTTTTTAATTTGAAAAGTCCACAGCATAGATGATGACTAATCAAGGTCCTGATGCTGCACAACATGAGGCTGGACAGTTTTCATTATTTAAGCAGACAGATTCTACTGGCAGAAATGGCAAACAGCTTAATATAAACTGTTTCAGCTTCTAAAATCCTGCCTTCAACATATATACAAAAAGCATCAGGACTTCTGCCTCCTTACTTTCTTGTGGTGCAATATGTATTCAACCCTCAGGTACTACACTGAAAAATGGGTTTCCAAGTATTCATGTGATGTACAAAAGCTGCAAAGTGGAAATGATGAGTGTTAATCAAGCTCGGTTTAAAAACTAGCTGAGACAACTCCGGGTCCAGGCGCACAGCCAACTGGGTAGCCTTTGTGTACTATATAAATTACATAAAAGTGGCAAGGCTAAGATCATAGAAGTCATCTCTTAAATATCAAATAAGCTATCAAGAGATCATTATAAAGCATTCAAACCCAGGACCAATCTAATGATCTCTAGTACTAATGTGTCCCTCCCCACCCCCCATATTTACAAAACTCCTAAGATAGGTTCTATTTGTAACTGTATAAATTAGGTCAGTAGTAAGCATGAAATAAAGTGCTACTATTTGAAATTCAAGAAATTAATTTTACCATTGAAATTTGACCCACTCTACAGAATACAAGAATGAAAACATCTTGCCAACTCACTGAAGGATGGGAAAAAATGGGTGGTGCATCAGAGAATCCCAAAACTAGGCTGAAACATTTTTGTCCAGGAAGGCAACTAATGCTGGAACACTACATTTTGGAGTAGAAACTGTAAGAAAACAAACAAAAAAGTTTCTTTAAATAAAAGGTAAAATGAGCTCAACCGTGACTGCAGTGGATGTGGGAAATCACAAATTACCAACGATGGATCTCAGAGTTGCACAGGGCTATCTCCAGATAGCTTGCCAGAAATAATTTTATTTGGCAATATGGCACTTCATGTAAGGTTAGTACAAATAAAATTTGCCAAATTTTGCATACTCCTAGGGTGGACGGCACTCAACACTAGTCCTTTAACATCTTTAGTGAAGTTGAGGCTATCACTTCACAGTTTTCAGGATCTTTACTTTCCAAAGAGTGAAATTAGTGATCTGTAGAAAGGTGGGGGGTTGGAAGTGGGAATCAATGGAAGTCTGCTTCAATTCAAGCGTGAATGATAAATAATAAATAAAACTTTCAAAAGAAGCTGTCCAACAAATTAATCATGCCTACAGAAGTTGTTTAACAATAAGTTTCCCCTACCCCACCAACCAGGTGAACTACTGAATCCTGAAGCATATAAATAACTCCACTGTTACAAGTTAGAGATGGGTCCAAAGTTCTTACATGTCCAGGGCACTGATGAGAGAAAGGCAAAACCATTTATTGGGGTCGGGGCTTCCACACAGAATTACTGCAGTGAATCGTAGGCACAATTTTCTGGCTTCACAAAGTCATCCTTACAGCCATGTCCTCTCTTGGAGCTACCACAGTGACCCAGCCTGGAGACTTTCCTCCACAGTAAACACATGCAGTTGTGTATTGATCTGCACACAAAAACATCCTTCCACATGGCAGGCAGCTAAAATCCGGTTATTTTATGCTTAAAAACAGTGTGTGCAAAGCTTCTGGAAAGTTTCAGTTAGAGCTAAAACAAAATCAAAATGACAAAGAATGCATCTCCTTTTTGAAATATGCATCTTTGATAATGACCGCTCTTGCTTACCATGAAAATGACTTGTCTCCTAACACTACCTTTTGTGAAAGGAAGCACAATCATCTTCCTTTTCTTTCTTCAATCCTCTCCAGATTTTAAGAACTATCGTTTTGACTCAAGTCATAATTTGCAAGATACATTCAATTTCTTTACAGCATGAAAGACACACAAGTATCATTTTATCCCTTTTAAAGAATGAAAGTTAACAGTTTCAACTTTTTGTCCATAGAAAAATATTTGCTATATTATCTACACAATACTTAGCAAAAATTCTACAGCATTTAACAGAAAAATTTTAATGAACTTAACAAGGCTTTCAAATATTTTCCTTATTGTAGGTGAAATCTTTATAAAAAGGTTTCAGGAAGTTAAGTGTTTGAACTCCTCCCTCAAAACTGTAGTCTTTAGTTTTCAATACTCCATATCTTTAACTTTGGAAATAAGGACAGACTTAGCTCACTTATTGATATACCAAACCAAGTCTAGCCCATACTGATGACCACCCCTCAGCAGCTATCATTTCTACCTTTCCATTTAGTTTGGATTACCAAAGTCAAGACAATCATGAGTACAAAACACAGACTGTACACTGCAGTGGAAATACATAGAAATAACAGCAACAAATTTATACATGGAGACAGAAACAACTTTTGGGTATCTACCAAGCACAAACTAATCAAGACTGTGCAAATAAATGTCTAATCATGGCAGAAAGAGGCATCGGTTTTTGTCTTTGACAACACTGAAAGGCTCATTAGTTAGCAACTGCTGCTTAGAAAAAAGAAGTCTACATATAATGGAATATTGTGTTCATAACAGTTGCAGACCAAAACCACATAATTCAGGGGTTAATCTTTTGTGGGGTTTTTTTTGCTAAAATTGTTCAAATTATCTCATAGCAATTAGCCTTCAAAAGTGTATTAGGATTATATAAATTTCTTTACATGTACACAATTCTCTGATAATTTTATAAAACAGCTGCTGCAACAACAGCTGAACTGTGACTAAGACATCACAAAGTCTTTGCCACCAGATCAATCATTCAGATAAGAACCCAAGTCGGATTTAAGTAACACAGCTGTTTCATTTGGAGGAAGCACTACCTAAAAACGATTTAGATACTGTATTGAAGCCAGTGTGGGCAGTAAGCAATCTCAAGACAAAATACTTTGTTGATGCGGTAGCTTACGTAAAAGCAGGCAGTGTCATTGCTTATCTACAGCTTATCATCTTACTGAGAAGTTTATTTCAATACATATTCACCATAAAGTATTTACTATAAGTGAATTCAACAAAAATCCACCTGTACTACAAAATAATTATGAAAAAAGAAAAGAGCCTGTAAACATTCCTCACATTATTGTGGTATAAATATCTTTAGTGAATTCAAAATCACTTTGGCAACTTTACCATCAGAATACTTTAACTACTCAAAATACAGATATTAAATAGCACATCGTTATAAATTCAGGTTTCCTTCTCCCCTCCTAATATTATAAAACAAGTAATGTTTTAATTCTGTTACATGTTCACATTATGAACAGAAATTATTTCAGGTTACATTGGATATATAGTCTCTATTTTAATGCTTGTAAAACCTAGTCTCCTAATTGCAGTCCAGAATGTTTTCATACTGTATGTGTGTCAGCCTAAATACACTGCAGAAAATTATGGTTCACTGGTCAAACACAACTAGGAAACCGAATCAGGGTCCCAATTGGGACCACTTTCGAAGCCTACTTATTTGTAACGTAAGTGATGTCCCCTAAGGTTGTCATAGTTATGAAGTGACAACACTGCCGAAGTATGCTTCTCAAGCTGAAAGAGACTCAAATTCACAAAAACTTAACAATAGTAACTAGGTTACAATTTGCTGAAGGTCTAGTCTGATGCAAAGAATACCATACTGAGAATGAAAAAAATCCTAGATGGTAGAAGACCAGACTGACAAATCCTCTTGCTCTATGGGCACCTGCTTTCGTGACTACACACTTAAGTAATGCACTGAAATATTAGGTATTAGTTGAAACCTTCAAGCAGCTTCCTCAGTGGTTCTACACACCTTTTAACTTTTGCAGTCAGCTTTCACATAACAATAAATGTTCTTTTCACTCTTAATCCAAATCATCAAATTCCCTTCCCCAACCTTGTCCTAGCAGCTCAGATAAAAGAAGTTCTTTTGCCAACTGCTTCTGTTTGAATGGGTGCACCGGTTGAACAAGCACAACAAGTTTTCTTGTGAATGTAAAGTCTAATCCAAATTATCCCTCATCCTATCCACACAGGGCTGCCAGAAATCCAATGCTCTAACAACTTGAATGAAAACGCAAAGAACCCCTCCTAAATCAGAGGGAAGGATGCCTTAAACATTTAATTGGCTAAAGCTCCTTGATTAACTCCTTGATTAATTTCCACTAAAGTCAACACTGATTTCCTCAGTGGGATGGGGTAGGGGTGGGGCCACAGGGCTGGAGATGGGTAAGGACAGCTAGTGGATCAGGTGAGTAGCCTAACAATTTTGGTATTCAATTACACAACAACACATTGGTAAGAATGGAGTTGAAAAGTACTTTGTATATGAAATGCATTTAAATTAGTAAGCAGGCAAAAAACAAAACGAAAACCCTCTAAACTGTAATAGATAGTCTTACCTGTTGGGGAAATAGTGAAACATGTATGTAGCATATTTAGCTTAAGCAGTTGTGAAGGATACCTTAAATTTAACTAAGATCCCAATAATAATACTTCTAATAAAGGATCTTTTCTATACACAAGAATACTGATAAAGAAGTGGCTCTGAGATTAAAAATCCACATTGGAGACATTTAAATATATGTCTACACTTCTAATACATTATCATTGAAAGACAAGCATTAAGGGAGCAGTGCTCGTTGCCAACAATTTGAGCTAACTTCAGCATGGGAAACAAAGCCCTGAAGAACTTCCCAGTCAGGTCATCTGTTTACAATTACATCACCATCATCTTTTTACCTATGGCTGTCATATTTTCCTTCCAGTTACAGACATTTAATCAGATGAAAAACTGCCCAAACAGTTACTATTTAATATATAGGCCTCAACAGAATTTTGCTTTTTCGCTTTTTAATGTGTCAGTTTATAGCAGCCTAAATTACATTTATCTGTTGGAAGAGAATGGGATGTTCAAATAAGACTACATTTAATTTACTATCTTATATTGAGTTGATTATGAAATAGATAAAAGGAAACAATGGAATTATATTTCCATCTTTCTTTAAAAAATACAAAATATTTTAATATAATAATTTATTTGGTATTGTGGCTGTTAATGTTTAGGAGCTTAACTTCCTGAAATTTTCCCTTATGGATTTTGGCCATATGAAATGATGTCATTTAGATTACACTGAAGATTTGTAAATATACATTTTCCCCTTATACTAAAAACCATTCCAAAAGAACTACCATTTCATTCTAAACTTTAGCAAGACTATACAGAACCATTCAGAAACCATTAAAAAAATCAATCAATTTTAAGCACAATCCATGTAAAGCGACTGTGTAAGCAACTTTGACGAGGTGATGAGATTTTCGCTTAGGTTAAACTGGGCCATGTAAAAGTTCTCTCTCAACTTAAAAACAAAAAAGCCCAAAGAGGAAAATATACACACTGTTGATGGGATCAGATCCTTGTTCAGCAGGTCCTGATCACACTGGATCGTCCAATCTCTTTCCCATAATGCTTACAATCTGGCAGGTATACATGACAAGAAAATCTTAATTTTAGTTATTGAGGGATGAACATTATAAATTATTCAGCCATTTCATTCCTCACTTAAGAGAATCCCAAACAGTGTAAAGAATGTTGACAGCACTGACATCAATTTCAGATTAACCATTTCATTATAGATGGGAATGAATCATAATGAACTAATCGTTCCTTAACTTTAGCTGAGGGTATTACCAAGTTTAACCCTACTTTGTAGGTCAGACATTTGTGAAGTTGGGAGTAAAATAAATATGGCATCTGAATAAAGCATCTTTTTAAGCTGAGCTGATAAGCTGTAATCCCTGTCCCTCAGTGACGGAATGTGCAGATTCTGAATCATTCCATAGCAGCAGAGCACACACTCAGTAGCACAAATTATCTTTGCTTCTTACAGCAAAATACAAGTACTAAGAAGAATTTCCTCACTCTTCTTTGACTGCATAACTCTCAATACAAGAAGCTGTTTTTAAAAATGTTAACTCACTCAAAATGCATAAAAATGTAAGAATGTACAATATACACACATACCTCCTAGTAGGGTCAAATGAGTGCCTTTTCATTAGACATACAAAGATGTCTCAAGGCACTTAAGGGGTTAAGACACAATGCATGCATTCCTTTACATCAAGTATGTGAAGTCACATGATTTGGAATAAGCCAACCTTATGATAAATATAGGTTACATTATTAAATCCAAGAAAATGTGTAGATTCATATTTATACTTTCTAGAAGATGCTGGTAAATGGACAATGTGCAGCATTTCCTGGGAACAGCAAATCCCGCCTTTCTTCTTTTGAACAGCAGGTCTCTACAGGGGACGTGTAGGGAAAGATGTGCTGCATCCATAGGCAGTGTACTGGCTAATATTGAGAATGATATTGCTAAAATTCAAAAAATAAAATCTGGTTATCAGTATAAGTACATGAACTGCTGGAAAAGACCAGAGCTGACTCCTGACGTTTGCTTCTTTTTGCTTTCAAAATACAGACGTGTAGCAGAGATGATGAGAATTCAGAGCCTTGTTTGTGGCAATTCTACCAGAAAGGGACTGCATGGCACCACCACAGAATTTCATACATTACCCTGAACATACTCAGTTATTCACTTTCTGTTCGGAGCAAAGCATGAAATAGTCTTCAAACACATGAGTTACAGATTTTGAAAGAGTGACTTTTTTTTTTAAACATAAAGTGCAACAGTGCTGAAGTTTTCAAAAGTTTTTTTGAGTTCTTCATTTTTTTCTTTTGTTAGATGCCATTTCCTGTGAGCGGTATTATGGCACAGTGAATATAATGAAAAGCAGTTTTCCAACACATATTCCAAATCTTTTGCTTTCTCATTTATTTGTTGATGTTAAGGGTTTAATAAAGCCTTCTTCATAAACTTTCAAAATAGCTTCACACACAAATCTGTACTGACTCTGAAAAATAAAAGTATATAAAACAGAATTGATCAGAAAAATCAGTGTACAAAAAAATAAAAAAAACCAAAAAAACAAAAAACACCACCCCAAACTCATTAGGCTTACTTACAAAAGAAATGCAAAGTCAAACAGTATAGGCATACTGTTTTCACCTAACAACCTAATATACTGACAAAAAGTAAAACAATGATAACATTTTGTTGATAAAAATGCACTGACACACTGCTGGTAGGGACGGTAAAATCCTGCAACTCCTAAGAAGAAGAATTGAGCAGCTTCTAGCAAAATCATATTTATTTGTTGACCTAGTACTCCTTCTTATAGGAAAATATCTAAAAGATAAGCTGGAAAGAGAAACCGAAACATATACTGGTTCATCAAAATAACAAAATACTGCTAGCTGGTAAAAACAAACAAAACAATAAAAAACAAAGAACAAGTCTACAGATCACTATAGAATGATTCCAGGATATTCTGTCAAATAAAAAAAAATTTAAGACAGATAAATGTATGCATAATTTTAAAAAGCAAGGAGATATAAATAATGGGGGACTTTAACACTCCACTTTCATCAATGGGCAGATCACCTAGACAAAAAAAATCCATAAATGGACCTAACTGGTATCTACAGAAAACTAACTCTACAGCTGCAGAATTACTACAAACAGCCAAATGCTAACAAATTGGAAAATCTGGAAGAAATGGACACACATAATCTACTGAAATCGAGTATAATGACAGAAAACCTAAATAGACCAATACTAATGTGGAGATTGAATTAGTAATAAAGACCTTCAAAAGAAAGAAAAGTGTAGGACTAGATGGCACTATTGAACGCAACCAAACTTTCCAATTCTCAAACTATTCCAAACTAAGGAAAGTAGGGAAATCCTCATGAAGTCAGGATCACCTTAACTTCAAAACCATAAAAAGATACAATAAAGAAAGAAAAGTATAGACCAATATCCTTGATGAACAGATGCAAACATCCTCAACAAATTACTAGTTAACTGAATTCAATAAAATATTAGAAAGATCATTCACCTTGATCAAATGGGATTTATCCCTTATTGAATATAATACAAATCAGTAACTATGATACATCCTTTTAACAAGCTGAAGAATAAAAATCATATGATTATTTCAATAGATGTAGAAGAAGCATTTGGCAAACACAGCATCCTTTCATGATAATGATAAAAAAAAAAAACCCTTAGGCAAAGCAGGTAAAGAAGGTACATTCCTCAATACAATTAATGATATGTATGAAAAACCCAAAGCCAACATCATATTAAATGGGGTAAAGTTGGAAGCATTTCCACTATGATCCAGAACCAGACAAGGATGCACATTCTAATCACTGCTATTCCATATAGTGGTGGAAGTTTTAGCCAAAGCCATTAGGCAAGATAACGAAATCAAGGGGATAGAAGATGGAAAGGCGGAAGTCAAATTATTCCTGTTTGCAGATGACAGGATTGTCTGCATGAGAAACCAAAAGACTCTACTAAGAGAATACTGGAACTCATAAGAGTTTGGTAAAGTTGTAAGACATAAGATTAATACACAAAAACCAACAACTTTTATATGCATGTAAAATCAGTCCCATTCACAATAGCTGCAAAAAAGCCCTAATACTTTGGAATAAATTTAACCAAGATGTATTTATGTTAAAAATTCTAAAACATTAAAGAAAAAAATAGAAGATGACACCAACACACACACACACTGCCATACACGTGGACTGGCAGAATTAATATAATCAAAATGTCCACTATAATGAAAGCAATTTACAGATTCAATGTGACTCCAATTAAAACACCTACAACACTCTTCTCAGATCTAGAAAAGATGATGTTATAATTCATATGCAAACATAGGAGGTCCAACATTCCAAAACAATTGAAACAAAACAGAACAACAACAACAAGCTGGAGGCATCACAATAGCAGATTTCAAGATGTCCTATAAGGGAAGTTTATTTTAACAGACTAGTACTGATACAAAATGTGACTTCTAATCAATGGAATAGAATAGAAATCCCAGAAATAAACTTAAAGCAGCTAGCTAATTTTTGACAAAAGAATGGACATCAATCCCGGAAAAGGGCAGTTTCTTCAACAAATGGTGCTGAGAAAATTGGGATCTATGTGTGTAGAAGTACAAAACAAAACCCCTATCGTATAGCTTATTCAAAATCAAAATGGATCAAGGAACTAAATCTATGACCTGATAACATGAAATTACTAGAGAAAAACATTGGGGAAACTGCAGGGCACAAGCATAATTAAAGATTTCTTGGAAAAGACCTTAGAAGCATAGGCAGTTATACCAAAGATAAACATACAGGATTATATTAAGCCAAGAAACTTCTGTGCTACAAAGGAAATACTCAACAAAATGAAGAAATAACCAACAGAATGTGAGAAAATAATTTGCAAATTATGCAACTATAAATAGCTCAACAAACTTAAGAACAACAAAATAATCAAGTTATATAATGGGCAAAGGACATAAAACAGGCAATTTTCAAAGGATGAAACACAAATGGCCAATAAACAAATGACAAAAAAAAATACTCAAGATCTTTAGCCATCATGAAAATGCAAATAAAAACCACCTCACCCCAGTTAGAATGGCTATCATCTGAAAATTAAGAAAACAGTGAGTGCTGGCAGGATGAGATGACAAAAAGGTACTATATTCCACTCTAGGTGGGAACTAGTAGAACCATTAAAAGGGGACAGTCTGGAGATTACTCAGAGATCTGAAAACAGACTTACCCTATGACCTAACCATCCCATTACTCTGGGCATTTATCAAAATAAATGAAGGCAAGATTGAGTTAGCTGTACTCCATGCTCACTGTAACTCAATTAACAGTAATTAAGAATCAGAATCAACCCAGATGTCTATCAACTGATGACTGGGTAAAGAAAATTTGATACGTATAAACTATGAAATCTACTCAGCCACAAAAAAGAACAAAATGCAACAAAATGGGTACAATTGGAACCCATTAAGCTTAATGAGATAAGCCAGTCCCCAAAAGACAAAGATGTTTTCTCTGATCTCTAATACATAAAGTAAAAAATATGTAATCTATATATTGACATGCAGTAATTTAATCACAGATTAGTCTGTCTACATTACTGTGGAACAGTTTTTTTTAAATACTTGCTACCTTTTGAAAATTCTACTCAATGGAATGATAAGCCTGTGATTGTGAAGTGAAATCAAAGTATGCCATTTTACAAGCTAAAAAAAAAAAAGGAATAATGAGGGCGGGGGGGGGGGCAGGTAGGAAAGATCATTAGCCTCTCCTTTATACTGTGAAATATGTGAAATCTGTTCATTTTATAAAGTAAGTTTTAAACAAAATTTTTTAAAAAGGGAAGCATATATCATTAATATTTTGTCCTTCAAATGACACAGCTGATATAGTGAGAAATCAGAAAGGAAGAAAACACTTGTAAATCACAAATCTGGGAAGAGACTGTATACTAAAAATAAAGAAAGTCTTACACCTAAACTCTGAAATGACAACCCAATTTAAAAACAGGCAAGAGACTCAAAGAGACAGAAGTCCAAAGGAGATACACAAGTAAATGGCCATTTATCACATAACAATATGTTAGATATCATCAGTTATTGGAGAAGTGTAAATCAAGCCATAGTGAGATATCACTTCATATCCACTAGGATGCCTAACATCTGTCCATCTCTCTCTTCACACACATTCACTCCTAGAACATAATTATAAATCAGTGAAGAATTTAAAAAGTAAGTAAATCCTTAATTTCTAGTGTCTGTTGCTTTTGTTGTTGCAACTCAAGTCCTTACGTAAAAAGAAAGGCAATTCCACAGAGCTGTTTCATTTCTGAAAGCAGGTTTGTCAGGATTCCCCAGTGCAGGGAGGTTATCATTTTCAGCATTCCTCTTGCCTAAGTAATAGGCAAATTCCTCTTTACCTGTTTGAGTACTCAAGATATAATGTGCTAGGCAACTTGCATGCTAGGAAACCTTTCTCTGTGAAAGGTCGGACACTAAGAAATTACAGGGCATATGCTATTTGCTGTAAATTTTTTATGATGGGATGGATTATGACTATTTCAGATTTTTACATATTAAATTTTCCTTAGGTAATGAAACCACTAAATAGAGTAGGAATAATAAACAACAGGAAAAAAAAGCAAACAAAAAAATGATCAAAATACCTACTATTCCTTAGGAGTATAAACAAAGGCTATCCACCATGACCAATTGAGTGTCACTCTTATTCCTGCAGATTACATTTTGTTATACTCTGATTATTAGCCATCACAGTCTGCTGTTCTGGTGTGAATGTAGACATGAGTAATCCATAAACAAATAAACATGTCTGTGTTCCACTATAACTTTATTTGCAAAGACAGTGGCAGGCCAGATTTGGTTGGTGGGCACCAGTTTGCTGGCCTCTGTGCTAAGGGTTAAAAGCTCCTGGTAAGGAATTAAAAAGATAAAAATAGGATTTAGAACGTAAGTGGTCATTCAGGACACACGTGGACATGAAACAAAGCACTTACAGGTGTTTGGATCATCATGGCTCGTTGATCTCTCATTGTTCTCACAATGTCTAATGGATAAACTGGCTGATTGCATTCAATGAGACACATGGCTGTTTCCATAGTGATAAGAACTCCAGTTCTTCCAATTCCAGCACTGAAGAGACAAACGTGGACAAGGTCTTGGTGATACTATTCTGTTAAACTTCTTGCAACAATCAAGTTAGTTTTTAAAACAAAATTTAATTTGCATTAAATTTTAGCACTGAGTCTTTTTTTTTTTTAAGCACTGAGTTTTGAACATGAATGTAGAAGCTATGGGAGACTTAAGATATGAAATGAGCAAATATGTTTCACGAATTTTTGCCACTTTGTTATCTCAGATATTTTGTCTACAATGTTTTGAAGCTTTCAGATTTCCTCTTAAAATGTTAGAAATTTTAAGGCTAAGAGATATTTCAATATATTCTCAATGAACCACTTCACAACGACGGTCGTAACAAGAGCAGACTCTCCCCTTTACCCTGAGTCAGGGGCAATCACTGTATTTGGCCCTTTGAAGGCAGAAAGGCATGTGGGGCTGAAAGGAAGGAATGGTATCTGCCTCTGTTCGCCTGCAGTCTATAAGGACATTTGGCAGTGGGGTAGGCAGGTCTGCTGAGCCGATGGCCATTAGTCCATCAAAATGTCCCCTTTTCCAAGATGGCATCTTGTTCTATATGGGACCTAAACAGTGTGTGTGTTTGCAGGGTTGGGTGGATCATGACCTGAAAACATGGATATTGTTTTCTGCCTGTGGAATTTCTGAAGGTGCTATATAATTCCCAGGTTGTTTCATGCCTGGAGAGGCACCCTCCTTCCTTATTAATTAAGAGGCCAACAACCAGGGGTCTTGCATGTTCTCTCTTTTTCCCTCTCTCCCATGGGCAGTGGTATTTCTCTGTGTGGAGCAACTTGTTTACAAATGTGCATGTCTCCACTGGCTCACCTTTTACACAAAAATTTGAATTGTGTTTTTGCACACTGTATGTGCTTCCACTTAGAATGCTTGTCTGGGTGCAAGAATGTGTAGAGAAATAAACATTTCCCTTAGATCACATGAGTAGCCTGGCCCTAAAAAAGGAATGAATGAGTACCAAGTAAATAACGTAAGAGAGGCCTCAGATAAGGAAGGAGTACCCTGTTGGGAGGAAAGGAATGTAAATCTCAGACTGCTATTTAATGCCTGTGCTGTGGTCTGAACCTGCCCTCCTCCCGCCTGCCGCATTCATATATGGAATCCTGATTACTAATGAAGACATGGACACGAACAAGATGAGTAAGTCACCAGCTTAGAATCCTCGTCGATGAGATTAGGACACCCTTTGTGCTGTCTAGGAACACAGCATCTGTCTTCTCTGGGGGGATGTAACAAGGCACCATCTTGGAAGCAGAGAGAGCGACACCACCTAAACTAGATTTACAGGTTTTCTGATCTCAGACTTCTCAGCCTCACGATTCTCAGCAACAAATTGGCATTTGTGTAAATGTCCAGGCTCAGGCATTTTGTTATAGCAGCAATACTGTACTTCCAGCAAATCTAAGTTACTATGAATTACAGGACACATTGCAATTTCAGAGATGTTTAAATATAGGAAGGATATACCTCTAAGAGTTGGCACAATAAGTCTTTTATCTGAGTTTCTGCTAATCATGTATTGGAACATACCTTGTCTTTACCTTTAAGCTGAGATTTTAAGTCCTCACCAACTTTTGTAATGAGAAGTACAGCATACGAGCAAAATAAAATAGATTCTGTTTTAAGCATGGCATACTGACTTAGTCAGTTACTCATTCATAAAAGACAAGAACAGAATACCTGCAATGAACAACAATAGGTTCTTCCTTGCCAGCCCTTTTATTTCGGACATGACAAACAAAATCCAAGAAGTCACTTGAATCATCGGGGACTCCGTGGTCAGGCCAGGCTATGTACTGGATCTGAGTGACTTGACGACTCTCATTTTTCTAAGTGAAAATGAAAACTTAATGTACCTTAACTTAGAAATTATCTTTAAATATAAATGTTAATTCCACTTCAATTTTAGAAGGAAAGAAAACTGCTTTCCACTAGCCAGGAAAGTACTGTATAAACTCAGTAAAACTCAAAACAGCAGAAGGAAAAAAAAATTACAAAAATAGATGTTTCCACTTAAGTATTGCCTACATGCATTACTACTTTTTATAACAATTCAGTTTTGGCATTTGTGAAATATTTTTAGGATTATTATTAAAGAAATTAATAACTAGAGAAATGTTTAATGAAAACTATGAAGTGTTAAGTGTGCAAAAATCTTAACATGAAGATATTCTTGGTGAATGAATTTAGGTGGATCCTGCTAAAACACAGGTAAACTCATGGAAATTAAACAGTAAAATCACAAAGACAATGTAGGCTATAATTAGATATCATACTACCACAAATGCAGAACAAAGATTCACTCTTTTTGGAGGAGCTAATTTTTGTTCAAATGGTTCAAATCTTGACTTTGTCAATATGAAGGCAATCTGCATAGCTAAAGGACAGTCTTATGTTGAAAGGAGTTTGAAAGAGGACCAGTAACTCCCCTATTCTGCTCCTTGGCACCACATGAACAGTAACTGCAAGCCAGTCATTCAAGACTAGGAATCCGTTTATTGCCATTTACATTAAACACAGCTTCCTGAAAAGACCATGAAAACAAAAGGCAATCAAGACTTGGGGTAGTACCTGTTCCCCTTTAATCCATGTATGTATGTACTGATGGTAGCAATTTCTCAGTTATATTTAGCTCAAATTCTGGAAACTAGTTTGTGTCTTAGCATTGTTCTGAGGAACTCAGGTTGTGTAAAGAAATGTCACTGTAGTCCATAATCCACAGGCAGAGTATAACTGGCTACACTGAAGATGGGTATTCTATATAAAGGTTTTCTTTCATTATCTGTTTGGGAAAGCTAACTGTTCTTTTGGCTTGTTTTATTACATTAGACAATGAAGTACACAGTATTTGCCCTCAGACCCTAAATTGATTCTGATTGAATCTCTGGCCTGTAAGATACTGAAGTATAATTTTTAAATCCTCTATAACTTCAGTTTTAGTCAATACTAGATTTTTTTTTCTATAAATTAGTAAAATTTGTGGCTCCTTTCATTCTGGTCAGTAAGGCCCTGTCACTTCAGACTCTTTTAACCTTACTTTTTATACCATATGTATTTGAGAAAGATAGCAGGTGAGTGAATATACACTTCCAACTATTGGTACATGCTCCAAACTGGTTTCATCTTACAAAGCTGGAGCCAAGTCCCAGGTTACGGCATAAACACAACCTCTCAAGCCATTGCCTCCCAGGGTCTCCATTAGCAGAATGTTAGAATCAGGAACTGGAGTCAAATACTAAATGTGAATCCAGGTATTATGATATGGGACATGGCTACTAGGCTAAATGTCTATACTTTCTTTAATTGTTTCACGAGTGACATTTCCAAAGGCTTAATGGACTGCTTAGAATGCATGTAACCCATGTCAGAATGCAAGTATGAGTCCTAGGGACTCAGCTTCTGATGAAGCTTTCTGCTAGTGAGCCTGGGAAGGCAGCACATGATGGTCTTTGTACTTGGGAATCCTGCCACCTATGTGGGAGACCAGGATGGCATTCCTGTGTTCTGGCTTCACTCAGGCCCAGTCCCGGCTCATAGGGATAGCTGGGGAGTAACCTGCAGTCTCTCCCTGTCACTTTGAAAAATGAATCAACTTTCAAGAAGCTGCACATATAACTGTTAGCAGCCTGAGAAGATGGGCAGTATGACACTTTCTTATTAGGATATACTTCTTGATCAGTTTCTATTTCTGGCTGAATTCAGAGGACAAGATGAGCAACCCAAGAAGAGCCAGCTATTAAAAAGCTACAATTGGGGGCTAGTGTTGTGACATAGTGGGTTAAACTGCTGCCTCCAAAGCTGGCATCCCATACTAGAGCACTGCCTCTTGTCTCAGGTGTTCCATTTCCAATCCTGCTCCCTCTAATGTGTTTGGGAAGGGAGAAGTACCTGGGGCACTATCACACATGTGGGAGATCAGAGCTCCCAGTTCCTGCTTTCAGCCTGGTCCGGCCAACTGCTATTCAACCAACAGTAATCAATGTGCAAATTTTATGGATGTAATGATTTTTGCAAATATTTGTTTTTATTGGAAAGGCAGATCTATGGAGATAAGGAGAGAAAAGTTCTTCCATCTGCTGATTCACTCCCTAAATGCCCACAAAGGCCAGAGCAGAGTCAATCCGAAGCCAGGAACCAGGAACTTCCTCCAGGTCTCCCACATGGGTGCAGGGTCACAAGGCTTTGGATCGTCCTCAACTGCTTTCCTAGAGCTGGAAGGGAAATGGAACAGCTAGTATATGAACCTGCGCCCCCCTGGGATCCCAGGGCACACAAGGCAAGGACTCCAGCCACTATGCTAGGCCCTAAAAATTTCTTATAACAAAGCATGCTCTTGGTCTGTTACAAAATATTTTAAGATTTCAAAGTCTTTACCTTGACCACAATGGCTCTAATGCATGGAGAGCCTGTCTTCTTACCTCTTGGTTAAATAATGTCATCTTCCTGAAGATGTAGGCAGTGTTCCCTTCTTCTGAGTGGCAGGTGACTTGGTAGCATCCATAGGATAAACTTCCTGTGGGTTCTGGCCAATACTGGTGACATTTAACCTGACATCAGTAAAATTAAATAAAATTATCTACATATATGAATCAAACTCTACAATTTTTAAAATGTTTTGATTTTTAATAACTTTCCGTCTTATAGATAAGGAATAAGAATAATTTAATGAATTCATACATACTTTATATAGATCTGTCAACTATTGAACTTTTTGGTCACTTTTTTCCCTTTTGTAGCAACAAAAAATTTGTCTAGCTATTTATTTATTTATTTTTTAAGAAAACAGATTATTCTATAAAAGCAGAGTGACAGAGCTATATCTTCCATTTGTTGGTCCACTCCTCAAACGGTTGCAATAGCTAGGGCTTAGCTAGCGGTAGGTCACACTAAAGCCAGGACTGAGGAACTCCATCTCCCTCATGGTTGGCAGAGACCCAATCTGTTGTTGGATCCTAATCTGTTGGGCCCTAATCTGTTGTTTTCCTATGCACTTCAGCAGAAAGATGGAGTGGAAGCAGAGGAACCAGGACTCAAAACTGCACTTTGATATGGCACACTGGCATCCTAAGTGCAGCTTAACCCACACACCACAACTATCCATAGGTACATTTGTAGACTAAAAATACTCTGATTAATTTTTAAAGATTTTTTAAACAGCTTTAATCACACATAGTTTATGTACTATATGGCTGAGTCACTTAAAGTACACAATTGTTTCTGTTATGTTTAAGAGCTTTGAAATCATCACCAAAATCCTATTTAGAACATTTTTACGACAATCAAAAGAAACCCTATACCCACTAACAGTCACTGTATATTTTACCAAGTCTCATTCCTCTTCCCTCAACTTCTTAAACAACCACCAATTTATTCTCTGGGGCTACAGATCTGATTAGTGTAAATATTTCACATAAATGAAATTATGTAATACGTGCCCTTTTTTGTCTTTCAGTTGGCATATTTTCTAGGATTAGTCATGCTGAAGTACATATCAATATTTCATTCTGTTTATTGCCACATCATAGTTAATTGTAAGAATATCCAACATTTTACTTGGTACATTTGAGTTATCCACCCCCCTTTTTAAAGATTTTATTTATTTATTGGAAAGTCAGATATACAGAGAGGAAGATCCCCCCTCCGATGATTCACTCCCCAAGCGACTGCAACGGCCGATGCTATGCCGATCCGAAGCCAGGATCCAGGAACTTCTTCTGGGTATCCCACACGGGTGCAGGGTCCCAAAGCTTTGGGCCGTCCTCAACTGCTTTCCCAGACCACAAGCAGGGAGCTGGATGGGAAGTGGAGCTGCCGGGATTAGAACCAGCGCCCATATGGGATCCCTGCGCATTCAAGGTGAGGACTTTTAGCCACTAGGCCATGCCGCTGGGCCCTTATTTCCCTTTTTTAACATTAAAATATTGCAGGATTGAATGGTTGTGTACAAATAGTGTGAGGGTAGGTTTTCAATTCTCTTGGGTATATTCCAGAAATGAAACAGGTTTAGTATGTTTAAGTATTTCGAGGAACTGTAACACTGTTTTCAACATGGCCACACTATTTACAAACTCAGTATAGGATGGTTCTGTTTTTCTCCAAATCAGCCACACTTCATTATCTACCCTTTCCCCTCTGGCCTCTGTTGCATTTCTGAGTGGCATATCTCTGTGAACTGCATACTTAGATCTTTTGTCCATTTTTAAGTTGAGTTGTTTGTCAGAGTTCTTTATACATAAGCTAGATAAGCAAAGTAGAGTACTATAAAAAGTGCACGGAAAATAAAATGAAAATTAATTTATATATTTTAAATCTGAAAGGCAGGGCAAACGAAACACACACACATGAATTGATTTTGCATTTACTAGCTCACTCTCCAAATGCCTGCAACATTAGGGGCCAAGTTAGGGTGAAACCAAGAGCCTGGAAATGCAATGTGGGGTTCCCATGTGGGTGGCAAGATGCAGACACATGAGCCATCATCTGCAGCATCCAGAGTGAACGCTAGCCGAAAGTCAGATGGGAAGCAACTCTGAGACAAGATCCCAGATATGTGTCCCAAAAGGCTATGCCATAGCACCTGCCCCGTATATGTCTATCAATCCTTTCAAATAATGCAACAACACAGCCAGCACTTAAGCCATATTTATGATGAGTTAGTCAAAGCTATATGCATTTAATCATGATGGCTGAAATCAGGAGACCACAAGAAAAGTAGCTTAAAAATAAGATTACACTAACACAAATATCTTTACTCTATATTCAATGTAACCTCAATGAGGTTCAATGTGTAAAATTCAAGTACAACTTACTCTGCCACGTTCCACTTGTGTGGTCAACATTACAACCATGGAGGAGCCTTGTTCCCAAGTCATCTGCCAAAAATCTGTACAAGTGTGTGGAAGAGGCCCTTGGCAAGCAATGTATTGATTGATAATGCTTGAAGAAGGAATTTCCATCTGACGGGGAGAGATACAAAAGTAAAATCTATTGCAATGTTGTTTTATATCATGATCATGAATGTAAAAACCATTCATTAATTGACAAATGGAAGACATCTAACTCTAATAAACTATAATCAGTAAAACAATCATTATCAATTATGTCTTTTTATTAGAAAGGCAGAATTAAAGAGAGAAGGAGAAACAAAGATCCTCTATCTGCTGGCTCACTCCCAAAACGGCTGCAGTGGCTGGAGCTAAGGTGATCTGAAGCCAGGAACCAAGAGCCTCTTCCAGGTTTTCCACATAGGTGCAGGGTCCCAAGGACTTGGACCATCCTCTAATGCCTTCGCAGGCCATAAGCAAGGAGCTGCGTCAGAGGGGCAAGAACTGGTATACATATGGGATGCTGGCACTTGAAGGTGGTGGATTAGCTCATTGAGCCGCAGTGCTGTCCCCAATGATTTCATTTTAATAAATTTTTAAACCTTTTCATTTAGTTAAAAGGCAGAGAGAGAGAGAGAGAAAATCCCTGGTTCACTCCTCAAGTGCCAACAGCCAGGGTTGAAACACGCTGAAGTCGGGAGCCTACAAATTTGGTTCTCCTAAGTAGGTACCAGGTAATGAACTACTTCAACTGTCACTGCTGCTTCCCTGAGTTTGCATCAGTAGGAAGCTGGAACTGAAAGTGAAGCTGAGACTCAAACCCAGGTACTTTGATACCAAAGTGGGCATCTTCAATAGCACCGTAACTGCTGCTTTCCTATTTAATCTGTGTAAGAAATTCCTTGGTGTTGTCCCATAGTTAAGTATCTTTCAATTAGTGAAAAAAGCTATTTAAATACAAATAGATTCCAAACCATTTCTTAAGGTTTTAACAACAGCTTTATAGTTTACATTTGAGCCAGGTCTAGGGGCAGTCCAGGGTGAGCTAAGCTGCAGTACCTGACAGAATGAGTTGGAACTGGGGACAGGCAGGGCTACGCCAGACTGCAGCACCTGCTGGCAAATGCCGAGGTGAGGCAAGCCCCCAGCAGAACATGTAAGACCCTGGGGATGGTAAGGAAGGTGGGGAAGGCCCGGTAGTGAGGCATGGGGTCCCCTGCTGGGCTCCCGAGCCTGAAAACTGGAACCGGGGAAGACCAGGCTGTGCAGAGTACAACACCCATTGGCCTGCATGTGAGCTGGGTTAGGGGGAGCCAGGCTGGGCTAAGCAATCGTATCCCCTGTGCATGCATGGGCCAGAGTAAAATGCAAGCTGGTTGGGCTTTGCAGTAGCATTAGCTGGCAAGTGCTGGGACTGGGGACAAATCCTGTCAGGCTACACTGCAATACCACCTGGAAAGTGTAAGATCTGGGGCTGAGAGAGAACCTACTAAGGAAACTACAGGCACCCCTCTGATGGCTGTAGCTCCCACCTGTGAAAATGAGAACCAGGGCTGAGGGTGGACAGATGGTAGCAACCTCCAAGAAGGTTCCACCAACTCAAACTTCTATCAAGAATAAAGAAAAAATGCTTGTTAATATAATCCAAATATGATCCAAATGCCCTCAAATGTTGGAGCTGTTTCTTTATTTAGTAAACTTGATCTGACTGGGATCATGTGACAGAAAAATCTAATATTCATTGACTTAAGGCGATTGATATTCTTTATCAGTTCTACTTAGTTGAAGTATTTATAATTTGCTGCTGAATATCAACATGCTGATTACAGGATACTTGTCCTCCGGTTAGTTGGGAAGGAACTGAAATTACAATTTTAGTTCCCAAAGCATATTTTGCTCTAAGGTTTTACTCCATTTTTTGATCCTTCAATCTAAGAGGCAAAAATAAAAATTCCATTCTTCATTCTTATTTCATTTAACAGTGCTTGGAATTTCCTGCCTGTTCTTAGTATATTACATTGTACTTCAAAAAGTATATGTCACAGGTACGCACTGAAGGAAGGAGTTATGCCACAGGTACTGTGTTTACAAGTCTGACTACTTGTTAAGATTTTTCCACAACCCCCAAACAGTTGTGGAACTTCCATGGTCATTGAGATGTGCTTAGGAGTAGTGAAAGATCTGAGAACCTGACTTCCAGTGGAGGACAAACAAGGAGACCTCATGCCTTCCTTTCCCAGCTTCTGCACTTTAAACAAGTCTATGTTTTATGCTCTATACAGTGCTTTGTTTTCACACTTTTGTGCTTTCTGCTGGTGACTTACTGCTACAATACACCCAAGTGTATTGCTAAAGTACTGGCTAGTGTTCCTAGGCATAAGGCTGTGAGGTGTTTTATTGGGCTAAATAAATGTGAGTGTCAGTGCTACTGGTTAATGACTCAGCAATACATTGTATGTTAAGTAAATGCACTTTAAATAGAAATAAACTTTTGTATCGATCAGCTGATGAAAACGTCGTGAATGGTGGCACGTAGGAACCAAATCTGTATCTCCTCAAAAATCACTCAGTATTTGCTGACTCAGTGTTGAAAGACTTTCTAGAACTATCTGAAATACTGAAGACTGATTGTATTTAGAAGTGAGATATTTGGTTTAGAAAATAATTTGGGGAGAGATATCTTAGCTGAAACAGCATGGACCAATTCTTGTGAACTCCTAAAGCTGGTCCCAGGGGCTGATGTACTGGTATAATGAAGTGAGTGCTATTCGGAGGACCGGTAATGCAAATCAGAGTGGCTACTCCAGCCTTCTGCTCCTACTTCCTACCACTGTGCCTGGCAAGCAGTGGATGTGGCCCAAGTGCACAAGTTCTTACCACACACGCTGGAGATCCAGATGGAGTTCCTGGCTCCAGCTTGGCTTTTGCGACCAAGTGGCCGCAATGGACAGAACTGAGCCAATCTGAAGCCAGGAGCTTCTTCCTGGTCTTCCATGCAACTGCAAGGTCCCAAGGCTTTGGCCATCCTCTACTGCTTTCCAGGACCACAAGCAAGGACCTGGAAGGGAAGTGGACCAGACAGAACACGAACAGGCACCCATATGGGATTCCAACGCATGCAAGGGGAGGATTAGCCACTAGGCTATCATGTACCAATCTCTTCTTTCCTTTAGTATGATTTTTAGTTTTTTTAAAATATTTGAAAGTTTTCATAATATATTAGGCTTTTAACAAAAAGACATAATAAAAGAAACTTACATTTATATAGTTTGCATTGATGTAGTCTTCACTACCTTTTAAAATAACCCGTGTAGCATCATCTGAAAAAATTTAAAACAATGTGTTAATGAAGTTATGTTAAAAACATAAAATCTAACAAAAGAGGACAGATACTTACAAGGCGAAATATCTCTGTATCTATTTTTGGAAATGTTCTGAGGTAATTTGGCACAAGTCATTGTCATTCCAGGTTTTTTCCGATATAGTTGCTAAAAAAAGAAAGCAAACCATCAACAATTTCTGTTTTGTTTTTCAGACCTGTTTCTACACTAACAGGAAACAGACTTTTTCCTTTGAACACTTCATCTACACGATGATGTACCTCAGGTTAGCAGATTATTGAACTATGCTTGCAAAGACGAACTCTGTAGTTTCTGGTATTAATTATGTATTATGTTTTGAAAAATGATAAAGCAAAGTGAAACCAATTTTGCTTACTGTGTACATGCCCCCAAGTTCTAAACAGCAAACCCGCACAAACTTTTTGATTTTCATTTAGTTTGGAGGCGCTCACATAGTAAGAGGAAAGAACTTATTAGGCATATGTCCAAAATAATTTACAATGAAAACTTACATATAATACCATATACTTCAGAGCAACAAACATTAATGATGGACATTTAAAAAAAATTGTTAAAAATAATTTAAGTTAAACTAAGTGCACATAATTGAAATAAAACACTTTAAAATCAACAGTATGATTTGTGGTCAAAATGCAGGTTATAAGTATTCAAGAAATATTTCATTCTTCCAGTATGGTGATTTGTCTGACAGTTTTTGGAAACTGCACTGACAAAAATTACAGACAGATTTCAGATGACAAAGTATAAATCAGGACTTTCAAGTCTTAAACAGCCTATCCTTGTCTGTTCCCTTTAACAAAAACAGCTATTTAAACAGAAAAAAAATTAATTTGATGACATACATGTAAAATTCCTTAATTTGTTTTAAGACACTTATTGGCATAGTATTTTTGGAGCAATTTTAAAAACTATGCATTTCAGAACATTTTATGTCAAACTTCTCAGTATATCACTTTAGTTTGTATGTTATGATGCAGATTAGGTAGCTAAGAAACCCAGAGACCAACTAGAGAAAACAAAGGCAAACACCCTCTCTCCACAGTAACAGTGTTGCTTACATCAAACTGTGTCAGGACTGTTCCAGTGAGAAGCCCCTCAGCTAGCTGAATCATTGACTCACGGAGGGAATGGTCATCCTGATGGCCACCATCCAGTGGGGCTTTCTCAGGAATGTACTGGAAGTCCGGCTCGTTTTCCAGCTTTTCTTCCACTACATCATATACAGCTAAAATAAAACAAAACAGAAACATGTGGCATTCACCACAGGAATGTACCAGATAACATTCATCGCTTCTATCTCAGAAAAGAATTCATTTATGAATAATTGTAGTAGATTCTGGTCTGGGGATGGGGATGGTGCTAAGCAGTGATGAAGAGAACGGCTGAGGTAAAAAGCTTCTCGGCCCTCTGAGCGAGCCTGTCTATAACCTGCGGACACATTCAGAGCAGCTGCTGAAAGTCCTTTCTGAACCCACCTGCCCTTGCTCTGCTGGACCTCCAGCAAGGGGACCAATAGGCACTTATAGTCAAATGGCTAAATATGGAGAAGTGGAAGGAAATCAAACATGCTAACTAAGAAATGCTCTATGCTCCTTACTTCAATTGGGAGTGTCTACAAAGTCATCTGGGCAGTCAGATTTCAAATGAGAATTCTAGCCCACAATTCTCTGTCAAGAGTAGTATAAGGAAAGTCAAACCCTAGATCCATATCCAATCTTTCTTTTATTTATTTATTTAAAAATATTTATTTTTTTTAATTGCAAAGTCAGATATACAGAGAGGAGGAGAAACAGAGAGGAAGATTTTCTGTCCATTGAGTCACTCCCCAAGTAGCCACAATGGCCAGAGATGAGTCGATCTGAAGTCAGCAGGCTGGAGCCTTTTACAAGTCTCCCACGCGGGTGCAGGAACCCAAGGCTTTGGGCTGTCTTCAATTGCTTTCCCAGGCCACAAGCAGGGAGCTGGATGAGAAGCAGAGCTGCCCGCATAACAACCGGCACCCATATGGGATCCAGGAGCATGCAAAGTAAAGACTTCAGCTGCTAGGCTACTGCGCTGGGTCCCCTTTTATTTATTTTTAAAGATTTACTATTTTAAAACAAATGAGAAAGAGACACAGGAGGAGCTGAGAGGGAAAGAGGGAGAGAAAGACAGAGATCTTCCAGCTGAATGTCCCCTCCTCACATGGCTGTAACAGCCTGGGCTGAGGTAGGTTGAAGCCAGGAGATTGGAACTCCATTTAGGGAAAGCCCGATCACTTGGGGCAGGATTTGCTATCTTCCCAGGCTCACTGAAGGGCTGGATAGGAAGTGAGGAAGAAGGGACTCGACCTGGCACTCAAATATGGGCTGCCAACATTGTAACGTTCAGCTTAACTCATAATGCTGGCCCCAATTTTACATCTTGTCAGCTACATTTGTAAAAAATATGTATTTATTTTTATTGCAAAGTCAGATAAACACAGAAGAGCAGAGACGATTCACTCCTCCAGTGGCCCCAACAGCCGGAGCTGCACTGATCCGAAGCCAGGAGTCTGGAGCCACTTTCGGGTATCCCATGTGGGTGCAGGGTCCCAAGGCTTTGGGCCATCCTCAACCACCTTCTCAGGCCACAAGCAGGGAGGTGGATGGGAAGCAGGGCCATTGAGATTAGAACCGGTGCCCATATGGAATCCTGGCATGTGCAAGACAAGGGCTTTAGCCGCAAGGCTCTGTTGGGCCTGTCAGCTACATCTTTTAAAAGAAGACTTATTTTTATTGGAAAGTCAGAAATACAGAGAGGAAGAGGCAGAGAGTAAGATCTTTTGTCTGTTGGTTCATTCCTCAAGTGGCTATAACAGCTGGCGCTGAGCCAATCTGAAGCCAGGGGCCAGGAGCCTCTTCCAGGTTTCCCACGCAGGTGCAGGGTCCCAAGGCCTTGCACTGTTCTTGACTGCTTTCCCAGGCCACAGGCAGGAAGCTGGATGGAAAGCAAGGTCATTGGGACACGAATCTGTGCTCCTATGAGATCCAGGTGCATGCAAGGCGAGGACTCCAGCCACTAGGCTATCGGGCCGGGTTCCAGCTACATGTTCTTTTGTTTTTAACACTAGAATCGATAAACATTGAAGTGTACATCCAAGGCCAATTGTGAGCTCAATCTACATGAAAACTGCTCTTTGCCATACTGATGACCATGGGTACACACACCCTGTACCCGCCCTTGGGAAGACAGTCCAGCAAGCAGCCTCAGATGTGTGCAGATGGGCAACCAAGGACCGTCTTAGAGGTTTGCTTCTCCTGATTTATGTGTTTTGGATAACAAGTTTCTGAACTGAAGGATGAAAAGACAAAAGGTATGATGACTTCAGGAAGATCTTTTGCAGGAAGGAGGCCCCCGGTGAGTTCCTTTCTTAATTTTAAGTGTAACAAGGAAATCTGGTATGGCTAAAATGCCAAGCCTTTTTTTTTTTTTTTTTTTTTTTTTAAATAAGTTACAGCTCAATAGTGGTCATGAACGTGTGAAATGAAAATTAAACTTCTGGTATCAACGTGGCTTCAATTTTAAAATGCGGATAATTTATTCAACATGTTGGAAGGCAACAAGGATTTAATGAGAATATGCAAGAAAGTCCAGGTGCATAAAAAGCTTTTAATGCTTATTTCTTTTACCAAGAGAAAATACGTAAAATTCAGAGAAATTATTTTTGTTACAAAATGTTTGTTGCTTTTTGTGACAGAAAACATACAGTTCTCAACCAATCACCCCAGTATCAAGTCTTAAGAAAAAGTTCCTTGAAAAGTTGAAACAGAATTTGTATTATTAAAGTTCATTTAATCTTTCCAGGAATTCAAAGACATAGAGAACACAAAGATAAAATGAAAAATGCGTGCTTGTACCCAAGAGATACAATTTTTCTTGTTTGTTTCTAATGCAAAAAAAAAAATTCTTTAAAAATTTTTGTTGGATTGATTGTGGTGGTGCATTAGGTAGAATTCTAATTACATGTCACTTTCCTGCGGTATTTAGCAAATAATAACATGATAGTAGCTATGAATTACTTTGTGGCTAAAACCATGATTAACAGTATACTCTCCACAACAAAACTAGAACAATATGCCTAAGGCTGCCATATAGGTAGTTTTTCCTTAGATAGAACTGACAGTATTATGGGAATGTGAACATTAGGGCGCATGAGCACGGGCGCTGGGATCCACAAAATGGAGAAGGGAGGGGGCCTCTGGTAACACCAGGTATGATTAAACCAGTGAAGGAAGAGGGCTTACTCTGCATTCTACAAATTTAGAGAAGAGAAAACAACAGGCTTGAGTCAACATGCATTTTCAGCTCAACTAATAACTGGAACTGGGGTGAGCAGCTCCAGGTATCACTGGGGAGATCGTGGCAAGATGCTCTTGAGGTTGTTGTGGAGAAAACTCCTGCAATCAGCAAAGACGCCAGAGCTTCTGCTGTTTAACGTTATAAACTGTCAAGGCAGCTGTTCAGACATGACAGGGCAAGCAACGACACAATCAGGTCAGTGGACATCATCTACTGAAAACATAGGTGAGATTTACCAGAGCTCAAAATTTACTCACTCATTCGGCAAGTATGTTATTGCTACTGGTACAACAACAGGGGGAAGGGGAAGATCTTTTAAGCTATGAGGTCAGGAGAAGGGAAATCCTTTCTTGGAATGAGCCTTTAGCAGGGACATAAATGAAGCGACTGTACAAGGCATATGAAAATCTAGGATGTACCAGATGGAGGAAACAGCAAGTACAAAGACAGTGAGGTAGATAAAGCTGGAACATCTGAGGAACACCAACAACCCACGTAAAACAGAGAGCAAAGCTGTGTAGAACGAAAGGGGACCAAGAGTTTAGATTCTACTCCCTGTGTGAAGTCACTGTACTTTGAGCAAAATACTGACATGACTTACATTCAAAAAATACTACATAACTGTTAGACCTATCTTCAGACCATAGAAGGTCTCCCCAAGAGGCCACTGAACTTATCTGGACAATAAGACGCTGAACTTTATGCTAGGCAGGTGTTTGCAAGCAATGAATCTCAACTGAACTTGAACTATGGTTATGCAACAAGGTGGAGGAATCCACCATGGGGGGAGGGGTATGGGAGGGGTGGGGGGGATTCCCAGCGCCTATAAAACTGTACTACATAATATAATGTAAGCAACAATAAAAAAAAAAAAAAAAAAACTCATCGCACTGATTGTGAAATAATAATAATAAAAAAAGAACAATCGATTCTTAAAAAAAAAAAAAACTCATCGCACTGATTGTGAAATAATAATAATAAAAAAAGAACAATCGATTCTTAAAAAAAAAAATAATGTTCAATCAGAAAATACATTTGTTCTTAGAATTTAATATTGAAGTGAAAAGATTTTAAATCCTATCAGTTTTTCATTAAGAGAAAAACAGATTATCAATTGTTACTGTGCAGAACCCCAGAATTTCCTACTTCCTAGTTAGAACCTGTACTAATCAATTACCCTATTCCTAGCCTTCCTGCTCCACTTTACTCCCCAGCATCCGATAACCACATCAACTTTTTATTTATTTTTAAAACTTTTATTGGAAATGCAGGTTTACAGAGAAGACAGAGAGAAAGATCCATCTACTGGTTCTTGCGCCAAGTGGCTGCAATGGCCTGAGCTAAGCTGATCGGAAGCCAAGAGATAGGTGTTACTTCCAGTTCCCCCATGTAGGTGCAGGGTCCCAAGTTTTAGGGCATCCTTAACTGCTTTCCCAGGCTACAAGCAGGATGAGACAGGAGCAGCCAGGACATAAACCAGCATCTACATGGGACCCCAGCATGTGCAAGGCCACTGATCCATTGTGCCGGGTCAATCACCATCAACTTTTATGAGATTTTAATTAAGACTGTATATGTGAATGAAATCATGTAATATTTAATTTGTGAAAAATTTTCTTTTTATTTATTTGAAAGAGAGGCTGTAATCTTTCACCTATTAGTTCACTTTCCAAATGGCTGCAAAAGGCTGGGGCCAGGTCAATCTAAGCCAGCAGTGTGCAATTTCAAGTTTCTTATCAGGTAGGTACAAGGGCCCAAGTACTTGGGCCATCTTCTACTGCTTTCCCAGGAGCGTTAGCAGGAAGCTGAATTGGAAGTGGATGCCACAATGCCTGCCAGATATTAATCTTTCTGTACGGGGCTTATTTCATGTAACACAGTAACTTTCATTTCCAACCATGTTGTTGAAAATGAGGAAATGTCATCTTTTTTTAATGGCTAAGAGATATTCTGTTGTGTGTATGTACTACATTTTCTTGCTCTAATATCAGGGGATGGATACACTGGTTTCCATTAAGCTGCAATGAACACGTGAGGGAGATATCTCTGCAGGTGGATTTCATCTCCTTTGGTATGACGTACATTTTAAAGGCTCACTATGGCTCCCGTGGTAATAAACAGTCTTGAGCTGTAAGAAATATGTAGTGTTGGGTACAGACAGTACTTACCATTAGGTCTCACAAGAAGCACGAGTTCCCCAGAATGTCTCTCACAGCTAGCTTTAATAAACAGCACCACCTGATCATGAGTGTGTTCTGCGATGTCCTGACCATTGATCAGTACAACTTGATCCCCTTCATTCAATCGAGGGACACAGAGGTCAGCCTGAAACATAATGCAGGTAAGGTTACAACATTGTATGTAGTTTGTTCGAAGTACAAGGACTCATTCTTACACATTCTACAGTTGCAGAACGAAAACTGTGTATAGAGCAGCATCTAGTCAGTCATTCACCTATTTTTAAGGTGTAGAGAAATACAGGGCCGGGGGACAGAAAATCCCAGGGCCTGCGGAACTGTGTAATAAAACAATAACAAGCAATAATTAAAAAAAAAAAAAGGAGAAATCCAGCTTTCCCAGGAAGACATTATCTTTCTTTTTCTCTTTTTATTCATAAAATTCTTTCCTGACAATATATATGTGCAAACATACAAGTAAGACTGATGATGCACAGCTTCAGGAAGCCCTCTCTCACTCTGCACTGTTTAGATACAAATTTCAATTATCATAGTTGAAGTAACATCAGTCCCTCAACAATAACTTAAAATTTTAGTTTCCCAGATGTATTAACTAAAGCTTTACAGCCAACCCTTTAGTCCAATGACTACATAAATGACAGACACATATGATGATCAGGTACCCACCATTTCCTTTTTAATATGCATTTTAAAAAAATATTTAGTTTTATTGGAAAAGCAGATTTACAGAGAGAAGCCAAGAGAGAGGGAAAGATCAGCAGAACAACAGCAGAGGGGTACCTGGAGACTGACAGACACAGGAAAGCAGCGGACACAATGGTGTGGTGCTGCAGTGACTGATACTCCCGCGGCATTCAGCTAACAGCCATCTGAACTCCACCAGCAACCAGGTGGGAAGGGACTTACACTGGGGGCTCGGGAGGTGAACCCAGACAAAGTACTGCCCGTCCTGCTGGTCCGTTTGATCTGACCAGGAGCAGAGACAGAGCAGCAGATCCCAGACAGGCAGTGCGAAAACAGGGTAGATTTCACAGCCCAGTCAGCCCCCTAGAGCCGAACTGGGCACCATTTTGCTTAAGGAGGCAAAGGCAAGGGAAAGCACTGAGCATATGCTGAGCTGGGAGTGAACTCATTTCTGGCCAGTGAACTGCAGCAACGTGGCATTCTACAGTTCCACCCAAGACCGGTCTGGGTAGACCTGTTGGCTAGCAGATCAAGAACTCTAGTAGTGTTATGTCAGGTACCATTTTGTACACTGTGGCAAAAGCTTTAGGACTGCAGAGGACAACAGTGAACTGCTTATGTGCTGAGCTTGCGAGAACTCAGAGTTCCATGGATTGCACTGGTCCTGCAGGAAAATAATACCAACTGAGGCATCATACGGGTCAAAATAGGTCTGTGTGGCACCCAGACCTAATGTCCAACAGGTTCCAGCAAGATCAGCGCCACCAACAACCTAGCTATATAGGATACCAGGTGTCTCTCTAATCCTGGGACCTGCTCCAATTGAAAGTGGGAGAAAGGCTGTACAGATAATAGTGCAGCCTCAGCACGGTATCACAGGAGGTGGAGATTCGTGATCCAGGAGTTGGGGCTATGGAGACCATGGTGGAAATCTAACATAAGAACCCAGACCTGAAACTCACTGAGGGAGTGGCACAACTGGCTGCAAGCAAAGAGTTGTGTACCAATTGCAATAAGTAAAATTGAACTGTAGACCTATGGGTGACACAGCTGAGAAACCTGCCCTAAGGAGAAGACTCTGCTCACCAGAAGTACAATGACCAAGAGCAAAAGAAGAGAGAAAGGCACAATGAATATTACTGAAAACTCCCCTGCAAAGGAGCAAAACCTTGTGCCAACCTCAGAGTTAACTGAGGGAGACATCGAGAAAATGGGGGACACAGAATTCAGAAAACTCATTTTAAAGCTTCTGATCAACAATGAGAAGCACATACAAGCACAAATAATTTAAGGAATATTTTACACAAGCAATAGCAGCAATAAAGCAAATCAAGGCTGATATATCAGATATTAAGAACACAGTAGAGCAAATTATTAAAAGTACAGTGGAGAGTTTCCAAAATAGAATGAAGCAAGCAGAAGAAAGAATCTCAGAATTGGAAGATATTTCCTGTCATCAGGGGGAAACAAACAAAAAGCTGGAAGCAGAGCTGGATCAGGCCAAAAAAAGTATTCAAGAATTGAAAGACACTATTAAGAGGCCAAATATAAGAGTTATGGGAATCCCAGAAGGTGCAGAATGGGAAACTGGTTTTACAAATATATTTAATGAAATAATAAAGGAACATTTCCCTAACCTAGAGAAAGAATTGGGAAGCAACATCCAGGAGGGGCCTGATCAAAAGCAATCTTCACCAAGACAAATGATCATCAAGCTCTCTTCAATTGAACATAAGGAAAAGCCTTAAATGTGCACGTGAAAAAAATCAATTGACAAATAAAGGAATGCCATGAGATCTCTCACAGGAAACTCTACAGGCAAGAAGAGAATGAAGTGACACATTTTAGATTCTAAAAGAAAAAAATCGGCCTAGGATAACATATCCAGCAAAGCTTTCTTTTATCTTTGAAAATGAAATAAAATTCTTCCAGAGTAAAGAAAAGTTAAAAGAATTTGCCTCTTCCAAACCTGCCCTACAAATGATACTTCAAGATGTTCTCTTGACAGAGAAGAGGAATAGCACCAAACAAAACCAAAGGCAAATGGGAAGAACATCCCAATAAAATGACAACAGAAGACTAAACCAATGAACAACCCATTCCTAAAATGACAGGACCAAAGCACCACCCATACTTATTAACCCTGAATGTAAATGGTTTAAGGTCAAACAAACATCATAGATTAGTAGACTGGATTAAAAAATAAAACCCATATATTTGCTGTCCAGAAGAGACACATTTCACCCACAAAAATCAGTGGAAACTATATCGCATGGGTTTTGATATTTTCTGATAGTTTCACCTCTTCAAAACACTTTCTTCTGATTAAATTCTTCAATGACCCATAGATCATACAGTAGCATCATTTTCTTCAAGAAGGTTCTTGATTTTCATTTCTTCAGCTACACATTAGTCATTTAGTAGCATGTTATTTAACTTCATGGTATTGTTATTTTTCTTCCTGATGTTGATTTTGTCTTGTGGCTTTTCATTTAAGGGGATGTATAGTAGCTGTGTAATGGAGGATATCATATCTAGTAACATTTTATTTGACTTCATGGCATTGTAAATTTCTATTTTTCTTTCTACTGTTGATTTTGTATTGTGTCTTTTCATTTGAGGGGATGTACAGTAGTTGTGAAATGGAGACTAACATCCAGATATGAGGATACAATGTAGTATGCATTTCTACTTCCAGACAAAGATGGACTTACAATGAAACTCTTTATTATATCTTGACAATAGGATGCTAGACTCTCTGCCATTGTCCATGCCCGCAATGATCGACATATGACTGTGTATGAAGAACTATACTTTAGTAATGATCTAGAGGAACTAGGTTGGGGGGAGGGTGTAATTGGGGCTGGGATAAGGGAAATACCAGGAGCGTATGGAGCTGTATCATAAAATAATAATAATAATAAAATGAAAAATGTGATAAAATGATATATAGCCAAAGAAATTCGAGATTTCTCACAATAACCAAAGTCTCAACAACAAAATGTTAGAAGTGAACCCACTTATGAGCATTATGACAATGTGTTAAGTTCTGAAACAAGCAACAAGCACAGTTTAAATTACCCATGTTTCCACAAAGGAAACAATTACTGATACTCCTAATATCAGTTATAGGATACTAGATCAATCTTAGATTTATTCTTTTTCAAACTTTTCTATACTTTACTAAGAGATAGCAAAAAAAAAGATTTTCATGTTAACAAAACATTTAGAAGTCATAGGAAAAGCTCTATTTTTTTCCAGTTGATTATTAGTAACCCTACACAGTTTATCTCGCATGTTTATTTTTTCAGGTCCTCTGCTATTAAGCAAAGTGAATTCCTTGTGCTTTACTGAGGAAACAAACTTGTGATTAAGGTAAAAGAGAAACAAGGAACAGAAATATGGCCAGCATGTTCCAGGGGTGTCACAATGAAAACAGTTAGGCTGGAAGGATGCAATGCCAGGGAGAGAAACAAATGATGAAGGTTGCTCTCAAAAAAAAAGAGGAGGACCAACTGGGGTGAAGGCATGACAAAATGAAGGCACAGCCATTCAGTCATTATAAACACAAAATTCAACAAAACCCAACAAGGCAGCATCACCAGCAGGAAGCACACTGACTTACATTTCTCTAATGGTTATAAAATGTGTGATCTAAGACACCTGAAACTGTGAAAAATGGAGCAGTCATATGTCCTAATTATTTGATACAGTTGTGAAGACAAAGATGAGACATTCAATCCAAGGCTTTAAAATCTGGACTGTCCAAATGCTGGTACTGTGGCGTAGCAAGTAAAGCTTCCACCCGTAAAAGCAGCATTCCATACCAGTGCCAGTTCCAGATCAGGCTGTTTCACTTTTGGAACCAGCTCCCTGCTAGGGTATCTGTCTGGGAAAACAGCACAGGATGACCCATGAACCTACATGGGAGACCTGGATAAAGCTGCTGAGTTGTTAGGCTGAGGTGTTCAGTGGCTTTGGGTTAAATCTGTACAACTGGAAGGTACTGGTACTCATATCCTATTCCGACACTAAGGATCAGAAATGCGGTAGGTACTGGTGGGTGATTACACATCTGTTGAGCGACAATTTAGAGTCACAACTGGATCTGTTTGCGTGTGTGGTGACGATGCTATAGGACTTGTGTTGAATCTGCTAATAAGCACACTTTATTTAAACTGTAGCTTATCTGCAGTGGCTTGAATATAAAGTTGATTCAGTATGACAACTGGTTTGAACCAAAAAAGAATAGAACAATGACAAGAAGCAGAGTACCAATGACATTTAAAGTTCCTTTTGGTTGTCTGCACTCTGGTGCTTTAATCTTGGGCAACACCTAGGTGGCTATATGTAGAAGGACATTCAGAATCTTTGCTATTGAGGGAGACAGAGCCAGGTCAATCTCCTCTGAAAGGTCCCAGAAGGAGATGGATAAACAGGAAACCTCCTGGCTGGCAGGTTTACATAAAGGACCTGCTACAGGAACAAGTTGTATATTGGGGGACTGTCTCTCCCTTTTGAGATGTAAATGCATCAAGCCCCTCCTCCCTGGATGCCTATGCGACAACCTTCTTTTAAAGGTCTGATGCTGTTAATAAACTTTGGCTATTGACCATCAGTGAGTTGTCCATGTATATTATTATCAGCTCCATGCATCAACACCATAGCTGCAGGACAATGAACAGCTATATAATAAATTTTGCATGTATTCTTACGCCAGGGGACATATCCCAGGAGTATCTGTCAATGTTATTATATATGAAAATCAATAATAATGGTTTTCTAGTTAACTTTGAGGTTGCTACAAAGTAACAACAACAAAACCCACGTAGGCAGCCTCTTTTTCTCAGACATTTGGTTCACGTAGTTAAATAATAAAGAGTGTTTAGAGAACATTTAATAATAGAAATGAAATTAGCTGATCAGAGAGCAATGTAAGATGGAATCTGAAAGCAGTCTTTGTTATAACAGCAATAAAGATAACACACTCAAATCCAGTGTCCTATTTTGGAGAGAAAGTTTGTAATTGCTGAACCAAATGATGAGCAGCAGGGTTTTTGAGTATTTGAATATTGTTTTTGAATATTTATAATAGAGGTTACACAATCGTTGCAATAATACCATTTCTATTTAAAATGTTTTAAAGAGAAAGCAGGCAAATGAAAGGTGCTGAACTGCTATTTTCCTAAATAAAAAACTAAATAAGTGAACAACCCACTCCCATCCCTTCCCAAAACTGTACCTCTGACTGTGTTTTGTTTCTGGAGAGTGCTCTGGAAGCCCCTGTTGAAGTTTTTGGAAGCACTGGGCCCGGAGCAATGGCTTAGCAGTTAAAGTCCTAGCCTTGCACATGTGCCAGGATCCCATATGGGCGCTGGTTCTAATCCCGGCGGCCCCGCTTCCCATCTAGCTCCCTGCTTGTGGCCTGGGAAAGCAGTCAAAGACGGCTCAGTCTTGGGACCCTGCACCCAAGTGGGAGACCCGGAAGAAGCTCCTGGCTCCTGGCTTTGGAATGGCTCAGCTTCAGCCATTGCGGTCACCTGGGGAGTAAATCAATGGACGGAAGATCTTCCTCTCTGTATATCTGACTTTGCAATAAAAATCAAAAAATTGAACAATTTTTTTGGAAGCACTAAAAGTCTTATACACCTTGTTCATAAAAACAAATATTTTAAAATGTCCTGTAAGACAGAATAAAAGCTAACTTTCCTGCAAATTAGTACATTTATTTGACATTTGATAGTTGACAAAAGAAATTTTTTCCTGTATTTAAAAAATATTTTCAGACACAGAGGGTGAGGGGGTAGGCATCTGGCACAGTTGATGAGATGCCACTTGAGATGTCTGCATTCCATATCGGATCGTGTGACTGGAGACCGACCCAGCTCTGCTTCCAACCCAGCTTTCTGCCTGTGTGAACACTTAGAGGCCACAATGACAGCCCAACTAACTGGGTCCTTGCCACTCATGTGGGACACCTACATGCACTTCGTGCCTCCTGGCTTTGGCTTGGCCCAACCTTGGCTATGGTGAGCATTTACGGAACCAGAGGATGGAAGATACACAAAAATAAACGAAAACGTAAAAAAGAGTTTTTCAATAAAATAAATCCAACATTGAAGGCTTTATTTGGAAAGCTCAAATAACTTACAGGTGTTCCTGGTGCTACTCGGGACACGATCACAGGCATCTTCTGATCGTATCCTCCCTTAAAGAGAACAAGTCAATTACTGTCAAAGCTGGAAGACAGGAATTTAAAATCCAAATGCAACATAAATTCTGGATTACCTTTACATTGAATCCAAACCTCCCATTTTCATCAGGTTTCATTTTAATCAGAACAAGATTATCATGTGGAATACCACCATTAGGCTTAAAAAGACAAAAGTAAATAATGTGTTATTTTTGTCATTTATAATAAGAGACATACAAAGCATACTTTTTGTAAGCCTCTGTATGTAAGGAACCATAATTCTAATCAAAACAACTAGTTGATTACCATCCCTCCTACAATCCAGACACATAGCAAGGACTGTTACAAGATTTGGTGCTTTGGATACTGTTGGTGGAAATGTAAATAAGTATTGCCACTGTATAAAGTAGAAAAGAGGTTCCTTAAAAGAAAACAAAAATAATACTATCGGGTCCAGTGGCGTGGCCTAGCAGTTTAAGTCCTCGCCTTGAACACACCAGGATCCCATATGCACGCTGGTTCTAATCCCGGCAGCTCTACTTCCTATCTATCTAGCTCCCTGCTTGTGGCCTGGGAAAGCAGTCAAGGACGGCCCAAAGCTTTGGGACCCTGCACCCGTGTGGGAGACCCAGAAAGAAGTTCCCGGCTCCTGGCTTCGGATCGGTGCAGCACTGGCCGTTGCGCTCACCTGGGGAGTGAATCATCGGAGGGGGGATCTTCTTCTCTGTCTCTCCTCCTCTCTGTATATCTGACTTTCCAATAAATAAATAAATCTTTAAAAAAAAATACTATCATGTGATCCAGCAATCCTACTAAGCAGTAGTTTCCAAGGGAAATGAAATGTACCCTTTGAAGAAAATTTACACACCCCCGTTTATTGCAGGAGTATTCACAATATTCAAGAGAAATAAAGAACTTAAATGTGGACTCAAATGATGAATGAAGAACGACATCTACACAACAAAACACTATTCTGTTTAAAAAGGGCAAAAGCTGATCATCTGAAATGTCATGAACGAAACTGATTTCAGTTTGTTAAGTAAAATCACGTAGTGGAAGATTGCCCTCAATTTGTGAAATCTAACAGAAAAGGTGATTTCACATAAGTTAAAACTATAAAAAGTTGTCAGAGGCTAGGGAAGCAAGAGTGGAGGGAGGGATGAGGAAAGGTTGATTAAACAAGTGTTTACATACAGTTAAATAAAAGTAAGACAGGTTCACTTGGGGTTAAAAACCAAATTCCTTACAATTGAAGGAATTAAGGGTCTAAGCCTATTTCCTCTTCATTTACTCACTTTTCTCCAGCTAAACTGACAACTTGTTTTTTCATCATTTAAGTCATATTCCTGGTACAACGGTTTGAATGTGTCCCCACATGGGTTGCAAACTCAACTCCTACAGACCCATGTTAATGGAGCTGGTGACGGTATCTTTGGGACACAGAAGGACTAGATGAGATCTGAAGGTGGAGAACCTCCTACGGGCAACAATCACTTCACAAGAAACAGAAGAGAGACTGGGGCTGCTAGACCGCTCTGTCTACACATTATGGTGTGGCGAGCAGGCCTGCACCAGAAGCCAGGATCATGCTCTGGGACTGTCCAGCTTGACACCAGGAGTTCAACAAAACTGTTTTCTATACATTACCCATCTGAGGGGTTAGGTTATAGCAACAGAAAACAGAATGCCATCTGTCTCCAGACCTGCTGCCTCCTTGACTCACCTGCTCTTTTACTTAACACTAAGCTCTTCCCTAGCTCACACTACCTAAAACTACAATACTACTTCTGAAACTCCTTGATTCTCTTTCTGCTTCATCTTTCCTCGCAACACTCACATTGTCCTTTTTCTTTCCTTATTTTGCATCTCCAGAGATCAGAACAATGCAGTAAACAGCAAGGTATTCAATTTTTAAAATGGAAAACAGTAATGGGTAGAGATTCATTGCTTGCAAACACATGCCTAGCATAAAGTTCAGCGTCTTATTGTCCAGATAAGTTCAGTGGCCTCTTGGGGAGACCTTCTATGGTCTGAAGATAGGTCTAACAGAGTAAAGATCCGGTCAGTTAAAAGCTCCAACAAGGCCTCAGTATCAATATACAACATTATGGAATTAATTGACATAGTAATGGGAGGAATCCACCATGGGGGGAGGGTTATGGGAGGGGTGGGGGGAATCCCCAGCGCCTATAAAACTGTACTACATAATACAATGTAAGCAACAATAAAAAAAAAAAAAAAAAGTAAAAAAAAAAAAAAAAAAAAAAAAAAAAAAAGAAAAAAAATAAAATGGAAAACAGACTATAAATTATATGACAGCAATGATAAAACTTATTTTTGATGCACATCAATATTAACGTGCAGAATATCCTATAACAACCCAGTAACCACATCATGAATGAATGAACATAGCAGGTGACCCCATAGGTAGCATTTTAATCTCTTTTTGACATGTTCATAGCAGTGAAAAGAAAACAAACAATACTCACAGCAGGATAAAATGCTTATCTTTTGATTTTCAACTTTAGCTAATGAGGAGGACAAATAAAGAGCTGAGGGGGCAATGAAGGTGGTGGCCGGAGATCCTGGCATTACCCGTCAGTACCTGCCCAGGTCAGTACCTGCTCAGGTCAGTACCTGCCCAGGCCTGCTCCTCTCTCTGCTTTATTTTGCTCTCTAACACCCCGTGACATTTTCTGAAACACATCTATATTGTCTGACTTCATACTTCTTCGGGGACACAGTGTGACCTTTAAAATTACTGATTATCTTTTTTATGGCTTAAGAAAGCCCTGAAAATTCATGAGTGGAAGAACTGTAACTTACCATTTTACTGTGGTAAAGCATCTTCTCTAAAGCAAAAGAACTAAAGTAATTGGAACTTACTTTGTAAATTTGAGAGTGATCTTATATTTCACAAAGCTGTGCTCAATTTTAAAAGGCTCATGAAATCTTAAGTCTGTACATTAAACAATTATATACAAAAGTTAGTATGTAATGAGTTATTAAGCAGTTGTTTAAAAGCATTAGCATGTCTTAGAAGATTGACTTAACAGAAATCTGTGTAACACTTAGAGTCTTGAATATTAAGCATTTAATACATTATTGTAATAGCAAACTCCAGTATTGAGTTATATCATGGCAGAATTCATGACCAAAGATTGAGGAGAAATAGAATTACTGTAACACAATTTATAAGAAAAATATACCACACTAAAAATAAATTTATGATATAAAATAATTCAAAGAAAAGTGACATCAGCAGAAGCTACTTACAGTAGACTTTTCAGGGGAAGATGGAACATCAAATGTTTCATTAATATGGTTCTCCAGATCTTGTTGAGAATGTGAATAATAAATTTGGTTCCAACTATTTTTTTTAGATTGTTTAGGTGGTAAAGCTGGAGGCTGTCCATCTTCAGGGGTCTCTTGTGATCTAGACAAGAAAAAAGGGGGGAAATGAGTATTTTGGAAGTTGTCTTGCACAACTTCTTAAAAAAGGTAGAGTCAAGTGACAAAGATATTGAAAAAGTTTAATAGGAGGAAGGTCTTAAACAAGAGCCTATTTAAATTTTTTTTATATTACCCTGGAAATAATAAATCTAGTTTGACATCTCCTTCAGTCTGTAAATAATTATAATAAAATACATTCCAAAGGTATTCTTACAGTTATTAATTTTCTATACATACCGTCTGCAAAAAATATTTGAAGATTTGCAGTGGAGTCATGAGTAGCCAAAGAATAAAAGCAAGTAAACAGAAATCCCAAACTGAAAAGTAGGCTTTTCCACAGGAAAAAAAAAAAGAGCTTGGTACAGTTTAAAGAACTGAAGGCATTAGCTTATTTTATTTAAAAATAAAACACAGTGACAGGAGCAACGAACGTAAACATGACAGATAGCGGGGTGTTGAGATCATCACTGAAGAGACAAGATGGCATTAATCAGAGTATATAATTTAGGTGAGAAAGCAAAAATTCAATGAATATTGGAGAGAATAAGGCTCCATTTGTGGCAGCAGAAATTGGTAAGAAAAGGGAAGTACTAAAGGAGATTTTAAGGTAGAACTGTATTATTTTTAAAATTTACTTACTTATTTGAAAGGCAGAGTTACACAAAGACAGGGAGATCTTCCAAGGGCAGCTCATTCCCCCAAAAACCCCAACAAAGCCAAGAGCCTGGAATTCCATCAGGATCACTCACATGGGTAGCAGAGGTCCGAGTACTTGGACTATCTTCTGCTGCTTTTCCACATGCTTTTGCAGGGAGCCAGATTGGAAGTGGAGCAGCCAGGACTCTGAATGGGTCTGTGCCCTGCGGGATGCCTGCAACTCAGGCAGAGTCTTAAAGACCTCACCACAGAGCCTGCTCCAGAAATCCAGAAAACCAGAAATCCAGCTCCAGAGGCTTTTAAGGACAAGCATTCCCACAAAGGCCAGAAGGGGGACCCATAGTTCAATTTTTGTCCCAGGGAATACGCATCCATGGAGGTTGTGGAGTTGGGAGAAAGTAACAGAACAGGAAAGAGAAAAGGGTTCTGGATAACAGCACTGACCATGATTGGAACAACTGCCTATAAGGAAGCAGAAGGTCCTCTGTGGAAAGAGAATCACCACCTCTTACTGTAGGCATATTTGGATACATAAAATGTACTTATTTAAAAAAGACTCATTCCTCATTGTAATGCCTAAGCAATGATGAGTTGACACCTCTGTATCAGTTCATATGGGTACAGACTTCAGCCAGTTTCTACTCATTTTTTAAAAAGACTTATTTATTTTTATTGGAAAGGCAGATATACAGAGAATAGGAGAAACAGAGAGAAAGATCTTTCGTCTGATGATTCCTTCCCCAAGTGAGCACAACAACCTGTGCTGTGCTGATCTGAAGCCAGGAGCCAGAAACTTCCTCCAGATCTCCCACATGGGTACAGGGTCCCAAGGCTTTGGGTTTTTCTTGACTGCTTTCCCAGGCCACACACAGGGAGCTGGATGGGAAGTGAAGCTATTGGGATTAGAACCAGCACCCATATGGGATTCCGGCACGTTCAAGGTGAGGACTTAAACCGCTAGGCCACGATGCCAGGCCCTTCTACTCATTTTTATTAACTGACATCAGATGCCTAACAACTTCATTGTGAGGCTTTAAGAACATGAACTTCATTCAAATATACTGTTAGTCAAAATATGTATGCTCTCTAACATTCAGCTTGGCCATACGACATGGTTTTGGTCAAAGAAATGTGGGAAGAAGTGACAGGTGTCACACTGGAAAGGAAGTTTTATGAAACATTTCACCACGCTTCCTTTTTCCCCCTTGGGAGACTGGCCAAGTCCCAAATGGGGACTGATGTCAGTCTGGGCCCTGGGACTACAGAAATGCAGAGCCGAGTCACAAATGACCCATGATGGGTGTCTCAGACATGGCCTTTCCTGTAAGTTACAGTAGAGTGGACTCATCTGTTAGCACAACTTAATTGAACTCAGAATAACTGGTAGATAATTATCATAGTGACTGTTGGCTACAACCTCCAATGCTAAAGATATCTTAAAATGCATCTAGGATAGATTACTAGAAACCTGGTAGGTAACAGCAGTGAAGATGAAACCATAAATAAGAGCTCAGGATGAGCTGAGCTTGATAAACGAATAATGTGACTGAGTGGTCTTCCAGGTAAGTTTCTTCTAAGAGGGAAGAGAGTCCAGCATCTGTAATCTGCTACACAATGGAACTACTAAATAACCAAGTAGACAATAATGATACTCAGCCCAGACAGCCTCAAGGAAATTTTAAGAGACAAACATTCTAAATTCCAAGTCGGTAAAGGACAGAGTCACAGCATATCCTCCTATTCCCAGCAGAAGTTGTCCCTGAGGTATGCTTTGGTGGGCAAGGATTTCAGATTGCAAAACTAGTTTCCATTGTGCTACTTCCAATGGCCAAGAACCCAAGTCTGTAAGGGCCAATGCATTCACATGTTACTAGTGCAGGGAAATGTGTGCACCGTCTGGAACAGACATGCTGCCTCAATTCTGGCCTAGTGCATGGGCACATAAAGATGGACATCTCTCGGCAGAACTGCAGAGTTCAAAAAGTGCTTGCCAAATCATCTCCAGAATTTTAATAAAAAGCAGATGACACAGGGTTCCACACATACTAATCAGGCAAGTCAGGTTCCTTCCTTAGATCACAGTGTAAATACTTAGCTAAGGTGATCAGATTTTTTTTTTCTGATTTTGCATATAGCTCCCATTCCTAGGAAGCACTCAGTCTTATTATTATTATTATTTTATTAGAAAGGCAGATATACAGAGAGGAGAGACAGAGAGGAAGATCTTCCGTCCGATGATTCACTCCCCAAGTGAGCCGCAACGGCCGATGCTATGCCGATCCGAAGCCAGGAGCCTCCTCCGGGTCTCCCACGCGGGTACAGGTTCCCAAAGCTTTGGGCCATCCTCGACTGCTTTCCCGGGCCACAGGCAGGGAGCTGGATGGGAAGTGGGGCTGCCGGGATAGAACCGGCGCCCATATGGGACCCTGGGCGTGCAAGGTGAGGACCTTAACCACTTGAGCTACCGCACTGGGCCCCTATGGTTACAGTTTTGTAAGCAGAAGCAATCGGTTCAAACATGGGAGCAGAAGAAGACATGCCACAGAGAAAGGCAGAAAGAAATTCAAACTTTGAAGATATAATGTTAATTACTTAAAAAAGGAAAAACATACACAAGGAATTGAAAGTTTTGAATTTGAAGAAACAATACTAAAGGTTCAACTATTTATACTTAGTAATTAAGCAAAAAGTTCACTGTAAGATCAGAAAACAAAGTGTATTTTTTGGCACTCCAAAAACTGCACGAGTAGAGATCATGTTTTATTTAACTGTAATCACAGGAGACACCTCAGTGTTCACTAGGCTTAGATTCTCCTTACAATACTTTAGAAATAAATAAAATTCAGACTTCACCATTTGGCTAATTTTCATTGATACTTAAGAGTATTTCAAAGCAAACCCATTTTAGGTATTTGCTAATTAACGCTGAAGTCCAAGTACATATCGGGGCAGGCATTTGGCAGAGAGGTCAGGATGCCACTCGTGGTGCCTACATCCACACAGGAGTCCCTGAGTTCCTGTCGGCTTCATTCTTGACTCCAGCTTCCTGTTCATGTGGTACCCTCGTTGGCAGGTGATGCTTCAAGCACCTGGATCTCTGCCAACCCCATGAGTGACTTAGACTGAGCTTCCACTGAGTCTCTTGGTTGCTGTGGGCATTCTTAACGTGAACCAGAGAACAGGAGATCTCTGTCTCTCTCCACCTTTCTTTCCCTGTCTTTCCAATAAAAACAAATGAATCCATGTATAACATAAAAAATAGCAACTTTAATATCACTTTCCCCTTTTAACGAATGATTATAAACACACACAAATAAAGTTAATTTATAGAAATAGGGTTAATTGTGTTATTTTTAGGCATTTGTTCCAGAATGAAGCTCTAACACTTGAGGTTTCTGGTTTTAACCACAGTCAAAGTCTTTGATCTTAGCTCCCAAAGTCAAGTTATAGAGATTTCAGCCCTACAGGAGGTACAGGTAAACATGCTGTAGTGACAGCTCCTCGGGGACCTATCATCAACCTCCTGTCACAAATAAAGTATTTAATGTAGTGTATCCTTTGTACCTATATGCTTGATACCTCCTCTACATACAATCTCTTTCATTCTTTCATTTCCTTTTGCTTGAGTAGCCCAGTATCTGCAGGGTTCATAACACTCCTACACTAGATCAAGACTGGAATGGGGATTGAGCAAAGCAGTTTGCAGATGGAAGTCAACAGCGTCCGCTGCGGAGAGGAACCCACTGCAGAGAGGAACCGTGGAAAGGCCAAGCTCTGATGCCTTAAGCAAAGGTCTTAATTATGTGTGGGCAAAGCTATAGGGACTCACAGAAAAGACTAGAGTGCCCAAGGCCAGGAAAGCCATAACGATAGCTCAGGGAAAAGGATTTAATACTTGATGATTATGAAGTCTGCAAAGATTCTTGGAATTAAGGACGTAAGGATAAATTTAAAGAACTGAGAATTCCTCATTATGTTCAATCACACACCTTAATTTTAATATCTTTGTCTTTCAAAAAAAAATGAAAACAGTTCAGCGGAAAAACTATGAGGTGGACATGATCAGTCTTGTTTCTAACAAGTGAGGAAATTGAGACTTAAAAGCAACTTACTAAAGTCATATAATTTGAAGCAGCGGGACCAAGTTTTAAAGCCCGTCTGAATCCAGAGCTCATGCTCTTACTACTATGTTTATAGTTCTAAAAGTTAACTGCAAGAAGTAGTAGGAAAGCTATCTTAAAGAAAAGGATTACAAGGTTTTTAAAGCAGTGAAACTTTCAAACAAAATGTATCTCCGAACCCAATTAATATACTAAAGCTAAGCACTAATCCTACTTCATGGGACTTTCTAGAACACTGCTATTTTAAATCACTCCATTTTGGTTATAGTGCTAATGTTTTAAATTCCAGTAGAAGCTAACTGCATTTTGAAATAATGAGTTGTAAGCAAGATTAGAAGCTATCAGAAATTAAAAAATTAAAAATATTCAGGGGAGAGTGTTTGGCATGGCAGCTAAAGTGTTGCTTAAGAAAGTCACATCCAACATTGGAGTGCATGGGCTCAAATTTTGGCTCTGCCACCGATTTCAGCCTTCTGCTAATGTACACTGGGAAAAGCAGTAAATGATAACTTGAGTGGCTGGGTCCCTGCTACCCACTTGGAAGATCCAGACTGAGCTCCAATTTCCTGTTCTGATTTAGTCCAGCTTTAGTTGTGTGCACCTGGGAAGTTAACCAAAAGATGCAAGAGATCTCTTTGGCTTTGAGTTAAAGGAATAAATAGGGCCAGCATTATGGCACAGTGGGTAAGCTGTTGCTGATAACTCTGGCATCTCCTGTGAACACAGGTTTTGAGTCGGCTGCTCCACTTCTGGTCCACCTCCCTGCTAATGTGCTTGGGAAGGTAGCAGAAGATGGCTCATGTGCCCGGACTCCTACCACCCATGTTGGAGACCCAGATGGAGTTTCTGCCTTCTGGCTTTGCCATGGTTCAGACCCAGGCCATAATAGCCAGTTGGTGAGTGAACCAACTTAAAGTTTTAGAATTAGAAAATCCATTTATCAAAAATACTGAAGGTTTAGAAACATTAAAGTAAAGAAATTCTAAATGCCCATTTGATCTATCTCTTACGAACTCTTTCCACATGGGTCCTGGAGCAGTGGCTTCTCTATTGTGTTTCTCCATTCTTTATAATATCCACACAAGCTGATCTTCCACCTGATGGCTCACCAGGGCTCATAGTCTTCTCATGTTTTTCCTGAGTCTAACTGCTCTCCCAACCAACCCTCCTTTCTTCCAGCCATCACTCTCACAGCCGTACTTTCTTTAAACCTGATCACATTCTCCACTTGATCTTAGCCAAAAGGCCGAGAAGCGATAACCTGATCACATTCTCTACTGTGTTATATTCTTTCTCCTTTTCAACAATTAATCAGTTTTGCTACTTATTTACCTTGTAAGTAGTTATCCAAACTCTCATACCATGTTTTTGTTTGACATAAGTTGTATTATATAACCCAATAAACCAATATATACAGAGATTACCTATTACAGGTAGGAAAGCATTCTAATTATTTTAAAGACTATTTCTTCATTCATTTATTTGAAATGTGGGACAGCGGGAATGGGGAGAGAGAGAAGGAAACAAAAGGAGAGAACTCAATCTTCCACCTGTTGATTCATTTTCCAGCTGCTCACAACATCTGGTGCTGGGCCAGGCCAAAGCCAGGAGCCAGGAACTTCATCCTGTTTTCCCATATGACTGGCAGCAACCCCTATCAGTTACTTGGGTTATCAGCTCTTGCCTCCTTGGTGTATTAGCAGGAATCTGGATTGGAAATGCAGAATAGCTGAGATTCAAGCCAGTCACTCCAATACAGGATGTGGGTGTCTCAAAAACAGTGGCTTCTCTGTGCCACAACTCCAATGCTGGGAATACATTTTAGAAATGATTCACGCAGGGTGGACTCTGGCACAGCTGGTTAAGCCACTGTTTTGTGCTGCCTGGGATGCTTGAATCACATTTCATAGTACTTGGAATCTTATTTTATTTTTCATCTAGCTATCTGGCACTATTCTGCGAAGGCAGGAGATGATGACACAGTATTTGAGTATCTGCTGCACACGGTAGACACCTAGACTCACTTCAGCTTAGCCTAGCCCTGGCTTTGCAGCCATTTAGAGAGTGAACCAGTGCATGCAAGTTCCCCCTCTCTCATTACATACACTATCTCTTTCACCTAAATAAAATTGAAAAAAAAAGGGAAAAAAGAAAGAAATTACGCGTACATGTTTTCTATGACTTATCCAATGAGGTACTCAACTTTTGTTAATCCTCTCAGCACTGTCTAGTTATTATTATTATCTTTCAAGAAATATAAAGAGATCTCTGCATTTTCTTACTCTATTCTTTGGCCACACTGCTACAGTATCTGTAGAAATTGTTGAATGCAAGCACCAAAAATGAACAGTTAGCGACTAGATGGGAGAGAGGGAGTGTCTCAAGAATTCCAGGGAATAAGTAAGCACACTAAAAAAACCCGACATTCTTTAAAACTGCATAAATAAAACTTTGCACCAAGTACCCTGATTTCAGATTATATAAAATGAAGCAATTTTGCATGTTTAAAAATACAAAGTTAGGAAGCAAAATGAAACAAAGGGCTCTTACGGTGATGATTCCAGAACGATGCTATTAGCCTGAGTTGATGATGGAGATCTCTGACTCACAGATATTTCACTGGTGGAAGTATGAACCACATGGTCTACTAAATGACCAACGGAAGATGGTCGCAATCGAGTTCCCTCTTGTGTGAATGCAGAATTTCGACTAAATGAAAAGGAAGAAAACAATAAAAACAAACAATCTTAACTAATGAAATGGGTGTGTGAGAAAGTGGATGTATGATTTATGACTTTGCTAAGGGTAGCCTTTGGCCAAGACTCTGCTGCAAACAGAAAGGGTACAGAGCAGGGAAGAAGTCAGAACCTGAGCTGCACTCAACAGGCTGCCGCAGGACTTCTCCCACTCAGGATCCATCATCTCTAACTACCCCTATACTTTTTTAGTCTCTATACTTTATTACCTTGTTCAGCACAGAGAAGATTGATTAGAAAAGATGATCTGGATGGGAGTTGAAGACAACCACCACCGCTTGGGAAATCATTTTTAAACAGCATGTGCTCTCTTGAAAATGCTGCTGGGGATCCAAATGACATGTCAGTATCAAGTATAAAATGCAAAAGATTTTCAAGTCTACTAACAGATTCTGAATTATTTATTAGGAACCATACTGAGAAAGTCAACTGTGGAAGAACCTAGGGCTCCTTTGTTCACTGCTGCACTTCCTTATTTTCTAAGGGTAAGGAGCAGGTGAAGAGGAAATAGTGTCCTAGAGTAAAGAAGAACACGTTTGACCGAAGGAGTGAATCTTCATGTAGCCTCCTTTCCAGGCAACAGAAACATAAGGTCAGTGATTCAGAAAACAGCAAAAGGCCACCTTTGGGTATCGGGTTTCTACTTACTGATTAGGAGTTCCAGGTGGAGATCGTGAGGGAAGGCTCTGTGTTTCTAATCTGTCATCAGATACTGAGTTTCTGCTTACCACTTCCCAATCCATCAATTTTCGTGCTAAGGGCTTACTTGGAGATCTGGAGAAATAATTGAAATACCATTCATTATTTGATATCCTAAACTACAAAAAAAAATTCTAAGTTTCATAGATTATATTCTAGTTGAGCCAACAGTTTCCTTAATAACGAATTCATTTAAAGGTTATTTAATAAATAATTTTTATAAAAAATACATTTGCTGAATAGGAAGAAATGCCAGTAAAAGTAGAACAGAAACTAGGGTACCGGACAAAAAAAGAAGGAACAAGAAAAATGAAAAATATGAGTAGTTTGCTGTTAAACACTTTCTCAGATGTTATCAATCTTAATATTGTCTATTATGGCACAGTTTCTGGAAATCTAGCTTATCTTGGAATATATTAAACAATTCCTACAATATTATCTTCTGAAAATGTTTTTAGTAGAAATTTAAATCCCCTGGTTCCACGTAAGGAAGATAAGAATGCATATTATGCTTTATTATTTTTTTCTCTTAGGCAGATTTACAGAGAGAAAGATCTTTCATCTGCTGGAGCAGAGCCGAATGTCTGGAGATGAGCCAAACCGAAGCCGGAAGCCAGGAGCTGCCTCTGGGTCTCCCATGCAGATGCAGGGTCCTCACCTGCTTTCCCAGGCCACAAGCAGGGAGCTGGATGGGAAGTGGGGCTGCCAGGATTAGAACTGTACCCACATGGGATCCCGGTGCATGCAAAGGCTTTAGCAGGTAGGCTATTGCACTGGGTCCATCAGTTGGGTTTTTATTTTTACAAATGCATTTTGAAAGGTTATCTACTCTGTCATAAAGTAAGGAATAAAAGAATGCATGTTTTATTACCCATCTATATGCTGTAATGTATCACAGTGATAAAGATGACTGCTAAGTGTTCCTTTAAGGAGAAGATTTTCACATCAATCAACACAAAAGATACTAATACATGCAGTGATCATAAACCTTTAGAAGTTCAGGAATGTTAACAACGAAGTTGTTTTATATAGAAGTTCAAATACTGGCCAAAATTCATAAAAAATATATACCTAGCTTTTTGATATTATGCTTTAACATGTTTGCTGGTTTAATAAGTTAAGCTACTCTATAGAATATAATAAATCATTGTGTAGCCAGTTCTATATTTCAGTAATAAATTCACTGACACATATAAAAATTACTTTGTTTTCCATTATATCACAAGAAAAATACAAATAGATCCTGATAGTCAGCTACAAAAACCAGATAGAGAAATTTAGATGAATTACCTACTTGTGTAAAGTTAAAAAACTGAAACTATTTCTGGTAACAGTTCATAGAATTCACAGGTCAAGATTTAGTTTCATACTTTTGAATAATAAGGAATTATACTTAACACCATACCTACTTCTTAGCTAATCAAGATTTCTTTCCCTTAAACCTGGTCATCACTTTTTCCCTCTCTTCAATCAAAGGATAAAGTAAATCTAATATTAAGCAAGCCAATATGTTAAGATTTAGGGCAGGCAAATTTGGTGCAGTACTCAAACTGGCACTTGGGACACCCACACTGTGTATTAGACGGCCTGGTTTCAGTCACCAACTACCCTGCTTCGATCTAGCTTCCCACCTGTGTACACTGCTTGGGTCCCTATCACCATATGGAAGAACCAAATTGAGTTCGGATCTCCTGTTTTCACCTGGCCCAGTCCTAATTGTAGTGGGTGTTTGGGGAGTGAACAAGAATAGATAGAAGTTCTCTGTTTCTATTTCATACACAGTGAAAATAAATTTGAGACCATCACTGAAATTCTAATTGTTACTGAGTTTGCAGTTGTCTTGCTATTTAAAATATCCTTTTGTGTAAGTTAAACATACAAAAAAAAAAAAAAGAACTACAAAAAGCACGATAATACTGATCAAAGGATACTTGTTAGAGTGTTATGTAGATAGCAGGAAGATAAAAGTAATGAGCAGATACAACAAAGCCTAGTTTTGGCCTTCTATTAGACAAATCATTTAAGCCTGTACATCTAAATATCTAAATTTACTGCTACAATATGATTATTAAATCCCTCTCTATCTCTTAAATTTTATGATTTAGGAGCAACTAGATTTTAATGTAATGTTTTAACCTATAAATTTCAGTAAATCATGAATAACTTGACCTAGCTAACTGAAGAATCAAAACTACACAAAGTGGCCTATCATTTCAGGAATTATAGCCAAACACCTTGAAGTTTCACATAATGATTTATTTTTAATTTAAAAGCTAATGGACATTTTCTAAAGATGTGTAATGTTATTAGCTGAAAAAGACACTGACCTCATTTTACTTTACTTAACTGAAGTAGGTAGATATGAACACTGACCATTACTGTGAACCTAAATTAGAGGACTTTCTGACAACTTTAGGACACCATCTGGTTCAACGTTCTCAACTCTAGTGCAAAAACAAGCCTATCAGTCACAACAAAATGGTGATCTAGTATGACATTATACACGCAATGTTTAAAGTGGACTTATAAACTTACCAACTGTGGCTCTTCTATTCATGTTAATTCTTAATTTTAATAAACTACTCTTTCTTATATATTACAGTAAGTTAAGAGAGGGTTTACTATCTAAAGTAAAGAGAGAACTAGTTTCATTTTCTAAAAGAAAAAGAAAGTTACTAGAAGGGAAAAAATTCAGCACACTCACCCACTATAAAGCATCAGGACAAGTTATCTTCGTTGATGGACTGAGTACATTTGGGAATGTTTTGAATGTAAAACCCGATTTCAAGTATTTTCTTTTATTAACAGTTTTAACCTCAGAGACCCACCCACTCAAGCTTGTTGTCTATGTTTCCTGTTAAGTGTGGAAATTTCAAAGAAAAAAATACCACACTGATCATTGTGTTTGCAATGTGGTAAATTTATTTTTTCAACATGGCACCTTATTTTTCTATTGTATAAAAACACTGGCTTGTTCCCTGCTTGATTATTATATGAAAAATGAAAAAGCATGACAGCAATTCAACTGATGTGTAAAAAAATTTAAAAAAAACTTTCATACGAAGCTTATAAAGAGAAATCTTTTCTATCTATGAGTTTTCACACTGCCAACTCAAATTCCAAGAAAGACACAAACTCTAGAATTCCCTAACACATTAAATAAGTAACTTAATAATTGCTAAAAGCATAAGAAAATTTTAGTAGCTATGAATCAGGCCATCACAACAAAACGATAAGAGGTAATTAAACAGCTCAGTACTGCTAAAACATCTGCCAAACAAAATGAACAGGAGAGCCACAAAAGGCTTTCCTTTTGCAAATGTTACACAGGTGACATTGCAAAATGTATATTTTACAAAATAACCTGCTAACTGTACATTTAACTAATATACATATAAAATGAATAACTAAGTAGTAGGTGTAACTGCATATACTAAAATCGCAAATGATCAAAAGTGTTGAAATAACATTTAAAGTAAGAAACTGTATGTAATACTAAGCTTTAATACATAAATGCAACTATGATTTAGTACTTACAATAGGATATCACACAACTAGTCATCAAATCACATGTTGTATCTTTTTAGAATAAATTATCAAGTAAGAAAAAGGTGAAATGTATTGTTAGAAAAGGAATAAAAAAGGTTTAAGTATATACTTATATAGTATCACTATGATTAAGAAAAAATAACATTTTCTCAAGAGTAACTACAAGGAAAATCATTTCATATTAACATTTTATTGTACGTTTCATCTTTGTACAGGTATTTACACTTCTAACTGGGTACAATGGGATCTAACAGAGCAAAGGAGAAACTTTTGAATAATTTCTGTGGTCATGTCTATTAGCCTCTGTGCATTTTTTTATTTCCCTTCCAAAACAGGAATGTGGCATTAGGACTTCTATTGCCTATTTAATAGGCAAAAAAGACAGTATTTCACTCAAATTGAAAAACAAAGCTAATTTTAAAATATTCTAGAAAGATTTGTTAAAACATTTTGATCAAATACCAAAATAAATTATGTCATTCAAATTCAAGTAAGCTGATCACAAACACTGTAGCCCTGACCAGCTGAACGCTTACCACATCAAGACACTGACTGTTTTCCTGTTCAGTAGATTAATCACAGACAATCAGGATGAAAGCAACCCCAGAATGCAGGTGGGGGCTGGGGGAGGAAGCAGGCTTTATCATCCAAACAAACTAAAAGCATGCTTCAGTAATTTTTTTCTTCACAATGTTCTTACTTCAAGGAGCTCAAGATATTTATGATTTATTTCCACAAGCTTTCAGGACCTGATACTGTGAGAGCCTCAGATGGTGCTAGCAGTAAGTGCTCTGGAGTAAGGGACAAGGCAGGGTCAAGGCGGGAATTATTAAGTTATATCTACAGATTACGGTAAGAGTATTCAACTGCTCCTAGATTTATTGCCACCATAAATTACTAAAAGTCTCAACAGTAAAGAACATTTGCGTGATATATATTAAGTGATAAAAGCAAGCAATAAAATAAATGAAAACTATTTTAGATCAAATATACACATGCATATATCTTTGTCAATGTATGTTCAGACAAACCTCAAACTAATCTAACCTCCTCCCCAGTTTTAAGTGGTTACCTCAGAATGTCAGGGTATTTTTGGACACTGTTGGGGTTTCACAATAAACCATCATTTACATTACTACAAAAAAAAGGAGTGGAAGGGAAAATCTTTTGGAGGGAAGGGAAAAATCTCTGAAAGCACAACACTCTTTTCCCTCCATGAACAAAGCAGGAGAGTTATCTGGATAAATACTAAAAGCAAAATTTAAAGTAAAATCAAAAGCAACACTCCATAGTTCTCTTTTATTAACACCTTTAAAACCTCCAGGAACAGTGGACATCAGGCACACAGTTATTATTGAAGGACTTACTGTGTGTAAGTCGTCTGCACTGAAAGCACACCCCTCTCTAGCATCCCTCTATGTGGCTGGGCGTCAGCTTGTCAGCCTCGGTTAGAACTCTCTGTTCTCTACGCTCCATTCCAGCACCATGCCTTCCTGTTCTCCCTTGGACGGCTGCAGCAAACCTCCAGCTTGTCCCTGGGTGCCCACTCCCTAACCCTGTTCACAAAACTATTCTTTAAGACCTAACTCTAATCATGTCATTTCTCTAGCTAAAAGCCAAACTGGCTCTAATAGACTCTTAGGAAAAAAAAAAAAAAAGAAGAAACATGGCAAACAAATGCAAAGCAACTTATCTACCTCTTAATATTACTGAAATGAACAGAGAAGTGAGCTGGATAACAAGTCAGTCGCTAAATTTCTCAAAAAAATGTATTAACATAGAGAACTAATCCTCCAACAAAATATTATATTCATAACATGATGCTTGATTTAGCTTATTCAGAGCTTTATTGCTTGGCATAGAGTAATGCTCACATTAGAAAAAAAATCAATAAATGCATCATTTCATCAGCATAATGTAAGAAAGGATGTGGTCATTGTATAATCATTTAGAAAAGGTTAATTTTTTTACTTCCTTGTAAAAAAATCAGACACTAAAACAAAATTGGCTTACCTTGCAAATACCCTGTCTTTATTTGCCTTTTCTTTGCCATATTGAACTGACTGGACTTCAGTTCTCCCACTGAAATACACAAATACGGACAACAATAATATCTTAAAGAGAACTACAAGATAAAATGACAACACATAACATAATTACATTACCATTTCATAAGAGACAAGACATTTCTAGCAGAGAAAAGGAAGCAAAATAAGAAGCAAACACTGGACGACATTCCAGTTCTACTTGGATGGGTCAGGTTTAATTATAGCCCTCCATTAGAAACAAACACATTCTTTACAGACATTTCATTTTCTGGTCCTCTTTTTTACTTGAATCAACACGGGAGGAATTAATTTTGCACGAGAGGAATTCTCTCTAAACGCCATAGACAGTCTGTCTAGAGTCAGATCATCACACTCTAACTCAAGTAAGTCTCTGTCGGCCCGGGCCTCCCTTTCCAAGCCTGGAACTTTCCAGTCTCATCATTCTTTAATGAGTATTGGAGAAACTCTCCGGGTAAGCTCTTTTTCCTTTTCTATTGCTAAGGATCAAAGCATGAGGACTGCTTACACTCTCTACTCCTTCCATGTCTACATATATGGCCACTCCAGGTTTCCGCATATGGAAAAGGCAGGCGGGCTAGAAATACTGTGAGGGTTGGGCACTGGGAGATGTGTCTTGAAGATTATTTGTGTAGCAAGCAGTCTGTGCAGGGGAATAGAGTCTCCTTTGTGGCATAACAATATGTTCACATTCGTTTTCTTAATAAAAACTTGGATCTCAAATGATTTGTTGGTGGAAGCTCATTACTTAAATGTCAGTGAGCATAAATTTCTAGTACATCAGATACAACCATCACAAATGCAGACATCTAATGCATATAAAAGCAGTCAAACGCAGATTTCCAAGACTAAATAAGTGATTTTAAAACCATCATCCACACACAAATATAAATAAGAGTTGAATGGTACACCTGAGACTTTTTAATGGGGAAATAAAAACCAGTACTTTTTTTTTTCACTTGAGGTATAGGACAGGGAGAGGGAGGTAGAAATAGGTGTGTGTGGAGAGGGTGGAAGGACAGATAGACATCCTAGCTGATGAACTTCCCAAATGCCCTGAAGGAGGATCAAGGCTGGGTCAGGCCAGAGTTGGGAGTTAGGAGCTCAATCAAGTTCTACCCCATGGGTGGCAGACATCCAACTATTTAAGCCTTCACTGCTGCCTTTCAGCATAGCACTTACTGGAAGCCAGAGTTAGGGGCCAGGGATGGTTATGAAATCCAGCATTCTGGTATATAACACAGGTGTCCAACCAGCATCTTAACTGCTAGCCCAAATGCCCATACCAGCATGACTTTCAAATACTGGTAAGTTGAAGTTTCCTTAAAAAATATATTCCATCTAAGAAGGCAACAAATTAAGGCTCATCATTATGTTATATTGTGTATTAGTGATTTCAACTCCTTGGATACTTAATAATGAAATAAAGATATGTAAATGAGAAAGTTAGTGGTGAAACCAATGAATTTCTCTGACATATCCAGTTCTACCTTTCCTTTGAAATAACATTCTAACAAGAGTGACACAGTTCTAGCTTTCCTGGCCTTTGCTTAAAAGTAAAAATAAATTGCTTATTTACAGCACACTTACTGGAGGTAGGCCTGTGTCCAAATGAAACTTTGTCATGCTGCTATTCCTAGTTCATTTCAAATTTAAAGATTTATTTATTTTTGTTGGAAAGGCAGATTTACAGAGAGAAGGACAGGCAGAAAGATCTTCCATCTGTTACTTCACTCCCCAAATGGCCGCAACTGCTGGAGCTGAGAGGATCCAAAGCCAGGAGCCAGGAGCTTCTTCAAGGACTCCTACATAGGTGCAGGGTCCCAAGGCTTTGAGCCATCCTCTACTGCTTTCCCAGGCCACAAGCAGGGAGTTGGATGGGAAGTGGAGCAGCTGGGACATGAACCGGTACTGTATGGGATCCTTGAGCTTGCAGATGCAGGTTTTAGCCAACTGAGCCATTGCACTGAGCCCTAAAGTTTATTAGTCATTTTGAATTTTAATGTGCTTCATTTATATTTTAAAATATTTTAAGGACTACAAACACAAAACTTCTAAAATTATAAATACAACACACACACACACACACACACACACACACACACACAATTAATGTGAATTGAGCCACTGCAGGTCTTCATGGACTGTCTCTGCTACGCTTTGTAAGCAGCTATAGGTCAACCAACTCCATTCTCTAGATAGCACTGCTTTTTAGAAGGCACTGGTGGAAGATTAGAAAGTGGAGACAGGCAGAGTGGGACTAAGCTGGCAGGCATGGCCATTCGCTTTAATGGTCATGGGGATAAGGTCAAGTGAGATCAGGCATCTTGGAGATGGCTCCAATACTTGTCTGCAGGATCCAGTGGCTCTGATAGTGTAGCAGGCAGGACTGGCCTGGACATGTCACAGGTTCTGATGCTTGTGCAATACCCATTTCTTCCTGCTTGTTTCTCTCTAGACCTCTTCTTTTGCTGTCCTAGATTTTCCAATTGCTATAGAGCCAATTCCGTTTTCCTAACTAAACAATTACTGACACTTCCAAATGTCAGTATTCATATAGATTCAGTGGAACATTACTACTCTACCGGGTGAATACGGTGATTTTCACAATAAAGGAGTAATTAAACAATAATGGGAGAAATTTCTTAATATCAAAGGTGGAAAAGGAAATGATAAGTTTATGTTGGTGCAAAAGTCCTGAAATTCACTCAGTTTTTTTCACACTGCACATTTCCATGTGCTATTTGGGACCCAATAGTACTGTTACAAGAATAAAATACAAAGTGCTCATCTCACAACACTCACTTTTGCCAGGAAGATATATATTTTCACTACTGAGAAAGTATCAATTGTTAAAAAAAATATGTGGATGTATACATGTACTTACGGTGGTTTAAATACAAAAAAGCACAGCAAACAAAAAAAAAAAAACCTTACATATCTTTAGCTAGTCTATCCCTAAGAAATCAGTCACCATAATGAATGAACAATTAGAATTCATTCTGAAATGTCTTGCATACACAAATTGTTAGACTTAATTTTATTATATAGCAAGTGTATAGACACTGCACTAATGAAGAACATCCAATTTCCACCAAATTATATATTTAAAAAATACTGCTCATTTAAAAAGAATGCAATAATACCATGCATGTTCTCAAACCATCATGGAGTGAAACTAGAGACCAATAAGTCAAAATACCCCAGAAGACATCCAAAAACATGGAATCTAAATAATATGTTACTAAATGAGCAATGGGTTAGAGAGAAAATCAAAAGGGGAAATTAAAATGAAGGCATCAACACAACATATCAAAACTTATGCTGCATGATCAAGGCAGTATTAAAGAGGAAAGTTCATTTCAATCAATGTCTATGTTAACAGGTAGAAAAGCACCAAGTAAATGAGCTAACACTATAGTTGAAGGAGCTACGAAAACAATAGCCAAGCAATCCCAAGATTAGCAGGAAAAAGAAATAAACAAAATAAGGAAGTAAATAAACCAAATAGAGACCAAAAGAACAATACATAAGATCAATGTATCAAAGAGCTAGTTCTTTGAGAAAATCAATGAAAGAGATTCCTCACTAGCCCAACTAATCAATAAAGGAGGGAGAAGATATGAACCAAAAGCATCACAGGCAAAAAAGAAAGTATGACAACAGACACACATAGAATGGTTCAGAACTATTACAAGCAGCTATATGCCAACAAATTAGAAGACCTAGAAGAAATGGATAAATTTTTGGACACATACAATCTACTAAAATTCAATCATGAGGCAATTAATAATCTAAATAGACCTATAACATGGACTAAGATGGAATCGGCAACTAAAGCCCTCCCTACCAAGAAAAGCCTTGCACCAAATTTAGGATTCACTCCTGAATTTTATCAAACATTTCAAGAGGAACCTACCCAAATCTTCCACAAGCTATTCCAAACACTAGAAAAGAGGCAATCCTACCAAACCCTTTCTATGAAGCCAATATCACCTTAATACCAAAGCCAGATAGAGACACAACAAAAAGAGAACTACAGACAGATACCTCTGATGAACATTGACACAAAGATCCTCATCAAGATACTAGCCAACAGGATCCAGCAGTACATCAGGCAGATCATTCACCCGGACCAGGCGGGATTTATCCCAAGCATGCAGAGATGGTTCAACATTTGCAGTGATACACCACACCAACAAATAGAAAAACAAAAACCATAAAGTCACTCAATAGATGCAGAGAAGGGATTTAATAAAATATACCACCACTTCATACTGAAAACCTTAAGAAGAAAGGCATAGAAGGAACAATGTATAACACAATCAAAGCAATATATGAAAACCCCAATGTTTACATCATACTGAATGCAAGCTTTTCCACTAAGATCTGCAACTAGAGAAAGTTGTTCATTTTCCACTGCTATTCAGTGAAGCACTGGAAGTCTACAGAGTTATGAAGTAAGAAAAACAAATTAAAGGCATTTACATAGGAAACGAGGGATTGAAATAATCTCTGCTTGCACATGACACGAATCTCTATATCGGAGAACCAAAAGACTCAGTCAAGAGACTACTGGAACCCTTAAAGAGACTTTGGCAAGGTAGCAAGATAAAAAAAATTAATGAACACAAATCCATGGCACTAGTATGCACAAATAACTCCATGACTGAGAAAGAAATTGTTAAGCACAGTCTCCTTTAAAATACTGGACAGCCCAGTGCAGTAGCCTAGGGGTTGAGATCATTGCCTAGCATACTGGGATCCCATATGGGCACCAGTTTGTATCCCAGATGCTCTGCTTTCCATCCAGCTCCCTGCTTGTGGCCTGGGAAAGCAGGATGGCCCAAAACTTGGGACCTTGCATCCATGTGGGAGACCCAGAGGAGGCTCCAGGCTCCTGGCTTTGGATCAGCTCAGCTCTGGCCACTGCGCCACTTGCGGAATGAATCAACAGGTGGAGGATCTTCCTCTGTCCCTCCTCCCTTCTGTATAACTAACTTTCCAATACAAATTTTTTTTAAATCTTAAAAAAAAAATAAAACAGTGGAGAGCAATCTAACCAAACATGTGGGACACCTCTATGATGAAAACTACAAAACATAAGATGGAGAAACTTATATGTTCCTGGTTCGGCAGGATCAACATTATCAAAATGTAAACTACATTACCACAAGTAAACTAGAGATTCAACACAATCTCAATCAAAACCCCAACAACGGTCATCTCAGAAATAGAAAAGAAGATACACAAATTCATCTGGAAACAAGAGATCACGAATAGCCAGAGCTAGCCTGAAGAATAAAAATCAAGCTGGAGGAATCAGAATTTGAGGCCGGAAGACATACTGCAGAGCAATGATCATCAAAACAGTCTGGTAATGGTAGAGAAACAGAAAAGAAGATCAGTGAACAGAATAGAAACATCAGAAGGGAGCCCAGACATGTACAGCCAACTACTCTTTGACAAGAATATTGAAAACAATCCAGAAGTCTTATACACTGCTAGTGAGAATACATATGGTACAATGGTGCTGAAAAAAAAAAATGTCAGTTTCTTAACAAGGTTAAAACATACATCTATGATATGACCTGGTCATTCTATTCCTAATTATTTACCCCAGAAAAAATCAAAACAAGTATCTACTCAAAGATTTTCACATGCATGAGCTTAACAGTTTGATAGTTTAACCTGGAAACAAGTTACAATATCATCAAATGAGTGTATGAACAAATTGTAGTTCATCTGTACAATACAAATACTATTTCACAATAAAAAAGAATTATCAACACAGTCCACATAAATGAATGCTTAAATTATGATGCTCAGTACAAGTAACTGTGACTAGAGAGAATACTTCACATTCATCTCAATTTCTATTAAACCCTAGGAAATTCAAAGGAATCTATAGTGACAGAAATAAGTTGTTGCCTGATGACAAAAGACTGACAGAAAAGCATTAGAAGAGACCCAAGCAAAGTTTTAGGAGTGATGGAGATGCTTATTATCTCAATCACGGGAAAGGACTCACTGCTATATGTATGTATATCTAAACATAAGGTTAAAACCCCATCGTACTTTATTATGTTAATTACACCATTAAAGCCATTAAGATATGTAACAGCTCTTAAAAGCATGCAGTTACCATATAGCAGCCCCTATCATTTCTGCTGAGAAATATGTAAAATTTGCTAATATCAGTCCAATCTTTGCTTATGGCAGTAATGGCCTGAATGACAGCCACTGTTCTCCTGTTTTACAATCTTTTTCCCCTCCCTGCTCCGTAAGGCTCTTTCCTTTTTTTTCCACTATCTACTGCTCTCTTTTATTTTGTTCAATATTGCTTTTATGATGGTGAGAAAAGAGTTAAATATCAAGGAATGTGAGAATCTGCTATGCCTTTTTTCCCTAATTATGTTTATTTATTCCTGTGGATTTTTTATACATTTTTACTATTTTTCTTGATGTGGGGGGGGAAGGATGTAGTTTTAATCACACATTTTGTAGCAAGCTTTATAATGTTACTTGGATTGAGATTACAAACTGGGTTTTTATAAATGTTTGGAGCCTAAACATAAATATTTTCTGGGCTACATGTAAACATTTTTCTCAAGTACATATCATATGAGTTAATCTAATACATTATGGTAAGGCTTTGATTTACTCAAGATGAAAAATTTTTCTCTTATTTTATGAAGCAAGAACAAATAAAAATGAGTAGCATCTGTCTTACTAGAGCACTATGAATAACTTTTTCTATATAATTTTTTAATCTATCAGACATAAGTTTAAAAAACGGATTTCTTAGACCCTGTAAGATTTCCATAAGTAAAATAATCAGCTAAATTCTTCAAATTTAGTTATACTCCGAAAGCTGAGGCCTTTAGAAAAAGATAAAAGCTGTCAAGAATAAGGATATTTTAGAAACAATTTCAATAATTAAATCTGAGCTTACCAGAAGGCTGTTTTGAACTCCTTACAATAAAGGAATTTGACGACTCAAAATTGCCAAATTCTAGATAAAAACTAAAATAATTGGCTACTCATGCAGAAGATATTTTTTCTTTATAAATAAATGTGTCAGAACAAAAAAAGTTTTATGTATTTAGTAAAAAAAAAAAAAAAGAAAGAAAGAAAAAAGAAAATGCTAACATCTGGGGCCTGGTGCAGTAGCCTAATGGCTAAACTTCTCACCTTGCACACGCCAGGGTCCCATATGGACACTGGTTCCTGTCTCGGCCCCGCTTCCCATCCAGCTCCCTGCTTGTGGCCTGGGAAAGCAGTCGAGGACGGCCCCACAGCCTTGGCACCCTGCAACCCAGGTGGGAGACCCAGAAGAGGTTCCAGGCTCCTGGTTTTGGATCAGCTCAGCTCTGGACACTGTGGCCACTTGGGGAGTGAATCAGCAAACGGAAGCTCTTTCTCTCTTTCTTCCTCTCTCTGTATTTCTGACTTTCCAATAAAAAAGTAAATGGTAACATCTGCCTATGTTATTAGTAAATGTTGTTAATTTACATGAGAAAATAATGACCTGAAATATAATAAGCAGGACAGGATTCTTGAACTGATTGCACCACACAGCTTACATAACTTTTTACTAATTTTTTTTTTCATTTTAAAATTATTATTATCATTTTATGATACAGTTGCACAGGCCCTGAGATCTCTGCTACCCCCCTCCTCATACTCTTTCTCCCAATGAGTTCCCCATATACTGATAAAGATTTAAGATACTATAGTCCATTGGGATTTTTGACCCACTAGGCATGTGAGTAAAAAAAATTCCATGGTTTCATATCCTAAAACTACAAGGTAGGAAAAAAAAAATTAACCAATACTGAAGTGATACTTACCAGTACCGGAATTTTGAACCCAGTGTAAAATAATGTGCAAAAAAGTTCTTCTGAGGTGGAAGTGGTCTGTCCAAACGGAAGAATGTGTGATGTTCTACACACGCTTTCCATAAGTTTTTACAAGCTCGGTAATTCACCATGTTAAATCCCAACAACGTTTCTCTGGATTCATGCTGTAATAAATCACAAGATGCAGAGAACACCAAGAGCGCGTCAGCATGCAGTTCCACTAGGTTTCCTTTTGGCAGACAAGTTGTTCTTAGTGATCCCCCTAAGATCTTTTTTTGTTACCCAATTAAAAAGTAGTGAAAGAAATGGAAAGGCTTATTAAATGTGACCCTTATTAAGCAATATTACAAATCAGAAACTTTTACATTAGATCACAGTGAGAGGTTTAAAAGTTTAGACATTTAGCATGCATTGCTAAATAATTTCACTGAAGCAGGATACAAAGTGAATTACCATTCTCACTTTCACCACTACATACGTGGATTCACAAAAATGCTTTAAGGTCTACCTTGTATTACTCAATATGATGTTTCTGGTATGTACACATATGGGTATAAAGCAGTAACTCACTTATTTAAATACATCACTGCTTATTTACCCACTTGAGTAGAGAATAATCATGTTTTAAATCTATATTTCTATATGTTGTCTGGGATACATGAACATATGCTTTTGCCATTGAGTCCTATGATATGCATATGTTTACCTTTAGTACAAAAAACTCCATAGTTTTCTAGAATGGTTAGATGAAAACATATTCCTTCATTGCAGCAATGTGTGTGCTACATACTCACAACCACTATCATCTTTCTGTTACTGCTTTGTTGCCTACATACACGTAGCATACTATGGTTATAATTTGTAACTTCATGAGGACTAACAGGGTTAACATCTTTTCATGTTGGTGGTCATGAGGAAACCCTCATGTGTGAAGTGTAGGGTCAAGTTACTAACATACAGGCTATACACATAACACTAAGGATTTCTATAATATGTATATTACATATATATGTATTTCTTCACTGTTAAAATAATGTCTTTTAATGATCAATTATTTTTACATTTAAGGTTAAGAAGGGTTACTTCCGTATCTTATTAATGAAATCTCTGCCCATCATACAGTCATGAAAATGCTGTCCATAGATAAATCAGAAAAAACTGTCAACGTGTAAGCAATCAACTGTCATATGAGAAGGCAATGTGTTTAAAACTTTGAATCTTGAGCACCAGGAAATCAACTCTGAGTTACAGCTAACAACTGTTTTACATGCAAAACATTCTACATCATGTGGAACAATGAAGTGTCCCATGGTGACTATGTTGCGGTAATGCTAGTCAGCAACATCTTGAATATATATACCTCCTCCCCTCTCTGATAGCTGGGATACCTTCAAAAATGTCCATACGTGATTTTGACATTCCATGAATTGCATTTGGAATGTGACAATCTTCCCCCAGTTTGTAAACAATGAGCCAAAATGTATTAGGAGATAAACAGATTCCATGAAATTATAAATTCTTTACAAACTTGTTTTGACAGGTTACTCTCCAAAAAAGGCATTTTCTTTATTTTTTGGAAGGGAAAGAGAGACAGAGATTTGTCATCTCCTGGTTCTAAATTCCTATCAATAGTTGGGGCTTAGCCAACCGAAGCTAGCTGTGTACCATATGTGGCCTGCCAGGCACATTAGCAGGAAGCAGGAATAGAGAGCGAAGATGGGATTCCAACCCAAGCACTCTGATATGAAATATGGGCATCCCATGTAGTATCCTAACAGTTGAGCAAAACGTCTGTCTCCTATTCTATAAGGTTCATGTACTTAAAAACAAAGAAATGCTTTAGAGAGAAAAAGGGTGGCCTTCTGCAGAGATTATCTATACACTATCTGTAGTCATTTAAATCTTATCGATGCTGTTAACTATGGTTAAACACATTCCAAACTGACACACTACCTAAACAATGAGTGTATAACCCAAGTGATATAGTTGGTATATTACCAAGCATTATAGTAAGTTCTAAATAAGTGTCAGATATTATAATATCATTATTTATAATAATACTAATCTAAAGTGACTTCCACAGTGCCAATGTTATTCTAGTAACTAAAAATATGCTAATAACTAAAAGAAAATCATGAGAATACAAATGAGAATAACATTTCTCTTTTGGGAGGACTAATGACCGAAGTGGAAATCAGTGACATCAGCCTATGGGGAGAGGTAACATTTTACATGCTCATCTGTGAAGTGTCGACTCGGCATATTCACTTTATCAAATTGTATATTTAAAATCTGTACTTCTCCAAGATATATTTCATTTTAATAAAATGTCTCTTTGGATAAAACCTTCCATGTTTTATAAAGGATAAACCATATTATTCATAAAATGCAACTGATTCAAACATTTTGTGTGCACAACCATATTGAAATCTGCATTAATATCACAAGATTTTTCAAATTTTTAGAACATAAATCAAATGATAAAACCAGTGAAATTTGATGAAAGATAACTTACAAGATGAAATTACTGTTGATACTGTACTTACCATTACAATTAATTGTCCTTCACATATAAAGACCATTACTACTCTAGCATATGGAGAAAATGTTCTCTAAGTTCATGAACTAGAGGCTGGACACTCAGTTTCCCTCAAATGAAACAAGCTAATTCATTAAAGCAAGTGCTATAAAATCAGTAGAAAAGAAAAAGACATAAAATGCCCAGTTACTATTCTCATGAATGGATGCTGGAGACCAACAATGAACATTAAGTACGACAAATCCATTTCTAAGTTAAAGAGATAGCAGATGAATAAAAGAATCACAGGTGCATCAGAGAAACAAGCACATCTAGTCAAAGTAGGTTGTTACCAAAACTGGTATTTGCACTTTCACTTGCTTGTGAAGAAAAAGTTCTCTAATGAATGACTAAAGACTCTTAAGACTCCATTTATATCACTTATTAGAACAATACTCACCAATTCTTTTCTAAGTTGAATAAAAAACTGTTTGCACTTAAATGAAATTTTTACAATCTTCAACCTGAGCAAGAAAGAACAGAGTACTTAAATACTGAATAAAGATGAAAATTGTGCAAGCTTTCAGAATAATTACAAACTGATGTGAGTATAGCTTAGTAACAGTTATTTTATGATATACTACTATTATCACTCACACAGTACATAAAAATTTCAAGTTTTGGGTGCTTCATGGGAAAATGATCAGAATCTATATGCTTAAACAAGGAAAATCTCCTCATAATAACTAGTGTGGACTATATATCTCCCAATTTAATATCTTCAGGAATAATTAAAAATGCATCCCAAAACCAAAATATTTTTTAAAAAGAATAACATTCACATAATTTTTTAATGGGTCTGGTGCAATAGTTCAATTAACTAATCCTCTGCCTTTCAGTGGCCAGTATTCCATATAGATGCTTGTTCGTATCCCAACTCTTTCACTTCCCTTTCAACTCCCTGCCTGAAGTCTGGAAAAAAGCAGTAAAGGATGGCCCAAAGCCTTGTGACCCTGAACCCACTTGGGACACCCAGAGGAGTTTCCTGGATCCTAGCTCACGCACTGGCTCAGCTTTGGCCTTCTCAGGCATTTGGGGACTAAGCCAGCAGATGTATCTACTTCTTTCCGTGAAATTGCCTTTCCAAGTAAGAATAAATAAAACTTTAAACAAAAAAATTATTTACTTAAAATGTTTCTATTTAAGGTAATACTTGAGGAAAAATGTAAGATTTTAGATTTTATGGCAATGACTAAAATGTATTTGATTTAAAAATTTTATACATTTCTACATTGTTTTTCTTATTTGCATCCCATAGGGCATAAGAGTTCTCAAATATCTAATAAGCATAAAAATTAAGTTTTGATCTTACTTAGCAATCTTGCTTTGAGATCATCTCCTCATCTACTAACTTGACCTCTTCCTGGTAGTTCTAAGTTTGGATCTTAACACATGGCTTTATCCAAGAAACTTTAAGCACTAGCTATGATCAACTTCTCATTCCTCAATCACTCGAGGCAACAAATGCATGAGTCAGATGCAAAGCATGTTCATTTAAAGTGGCTTAGGTTTCTTCCAATAAAAATAATAAGCAAATCTTTAGAAGAAATAAATCATTTAAAATGGCTTAGGTTTCAGAATGAGACATTTTACTTTTTTATCCTGAGTTTTCATGGCAACTTAGCAGCATGAGGTAACTTTTCTGTTACATGACAGAGGGCATTTTTCTGGGAAGCGGCAAGACTGAATAAAATGCAGACTGTTTATGGGAAGCAAGAAAGTCACATGCCACAATCCAAAAATCACCAAATAAAGTTCTAAACACATTTAAGAAGTTACATGTTAAGAAGAGTCATCAAACAAGTGACACATACAAACAAACAAAAAAAATTACTCTTCCAAAAGACTAGGAAAAACTGAGTTTCAAATTATCTCAAGGTCAAAAATCCTAGAAAAACACCAAACAAGGAATAAGAATTTTTTATAAGAACTAGGTATTCTTTGCACAAAACCTATTTTGTGTAACTTGCATTTTCTCACATATATCCTGTTAATATATAATAGTGCATTTTTCAGAAAAAAAGCAAATATAAGCATTGAAATGCTATCCATTTTGTACAATAACAACATAGCTGTACGTTTCCTCTTATCTCAACAAGCCTGTTCTATCTGTTCAACGCTTTTACTTTCAACTGTTCTCTCTTTAGTCTTTAAGTCTCTTGTAAATAGTATAAAGATTGATCTTTAAAATACGTTTTTAATAATCCAAAGACAGAGTAAAGAACCATAGGCAAATGAAGAAATGTCCAATATTTTCAGCCATTCAGGAAATGCAAATAAAAAGGACAATGAGAACTTCAAATCAGAATGATTTGTAATGTAAAGGTGAGATAATGTAGCTATGTTTGAAAAATTTGGCAAATTGAGCAATGTCACTCCTAATTATATCCCCATGAGAAATGAAAACAGGTTCATATAAAAATTTGCCCCAAATGTTCCTACTAGCATGCTCTTCTTAAAAAAAACATACATTTATTTATTTGAAAGCGTTACAGTTTGAGGCAGAGGGACAGATCTTCCATTCGCTGGTTCTTTTCCCACAAGGTCCCCGTGGCCAGGGTTGGTCTAGGATAAAACTAGTTTTGGAGCTTTTCCTGTCTCCCATGAGGACTGCAAGGACCCAAGCACTTGAGCCATTTTCCCCTATTACTCCCAGAATATTAGCAGGGAGCTGGATCAGAAGTGAAGCAGCCAGGACTCGGTTCAGGGCACTAACGGTATGCTGGTGTCGCAAGCAACAGGTTTTAACTCATTACATAATAACTCTGGCCCTGATAGTTTTCTTAATAGACTAAAAGTGGAACAGTCAATGAAGTGATAAACAAAATGCCGTATAATCACAGAATAGAGTATCACTCAGCAACAAAATGAAATGCCTTAACAACATATGTTACATATGAATCTCAAAACAACATTAAACAAAAGAGGGCAATCACAAAAGACTGCATAATGAATGACTTTATTCAATAAACTACCCAGAACGGGTATATCCATAGACAAAGTGCTTAGTGATTACCTAGGTGTGGGGTGGGTGGAAGGCAGAGCAAGGGATGGGGAATCACACCCAAAGGTACAAGATACATTTGGGAGTAATGTAAATATTTGAAAAATAAAATACGGTGGTTTTGCACTCTGCATACAAATTTAAAAACCACTGAATTATATCATTTTACATATAATATGTAGTACATATGATATGAATAGTCATTTTTAAAATACCAGTTTGAAAATCTTTCAGTTTGAAAGTCCAACATAGTTTTGGCAATAGGTGATCTATCTGGATTTTTCTCTAGCACACTATTTTCTGCTAACTGTCCAAAGTTTTCCATGTTTCTAAAGGAACTCAAAAATATGCGTCATTTTGCATTGCTTCAGTCATGATCTTTGACATTGTCCATTTTCTTCCTTATTTTTAATCACTTTACTGCTCATGACTGACATGAAAGTTATATGGTTGAATCATGATTTGTCAGTTTGACATATAAATAAACGTATCAGCTCATCGTCACAATCAACAAAGTCAGAGTATTTATCATTCGTAAAGATCCTTCTTGAATCTCAGTAATCCTTTGGAATTTCACCACTCCAATCCTCACCTTCCAGACAACCAATGATGTACTTTCTGTCACAGATTAGGCTGCATCTTCTAAACTTCATATAAACGAAGTCACTACGTACTCTTGACTGTCATTAACTCAATTATTTGAAGATCTTCTACACTGCTATGCTATTCATTTTTTTGTTTGCTCATATATTATTATTTTTGTGCTAACATTTTAAACTATGGTCAAACACTTGATGCCTTAGTAAAAATGGTGTATGTCTGGAATGCCAGCTATGCAAGTGGTGGCTTAATTAATTGTGCCAGAGCCAGCTTCTCCTCTGAGGAACTTTTAATGCTCACAAAGCAGATCTATAAGCAACAAATCTCCCCAATCTTAGCATGTTTGTGAAAAATTCTCTTTGATCTCTGAAGGATAACTCTTCTAGACACAGACTTCTAGGTTGATGATTTTTCTTCCAACATTTTAAAGCATTTCATTCCATCTTCTTCTGGGGGAAGGCACTGCTTTTACTTACTTATTTACTTATTTATTTTCCATTTTGCTTCTTTCAAGATTTTTTTTCCTCCTTACATTTCTCTAGTTATACGCTATATGGCTGTAGATGTTTTCAGTGCTTAATCTATTTGGATAATTTCTGAACTTCAAGGTCTTTGGTTTGGTAATTAATTTTGGAAAATATCTGTAAATACTTCTGTTCCCTTACTATTTTTTCTGTTATTCTCATTAAATTAGTTAAATATTTTATGTGATTTGATTTTTCTCTTTGCTTTTCAGTTTCCAAAATCTATAGGGCACATCCTAAAGCTCCAGGTTCTTTCTTGGCTGTGTACAATTGCTAAGATCGTTGAAGTCATTCTTTGTCTCCGACGCAATGTTTCTGATTTCTAGCCTCTGTTCGACTCTCATAGGATTCCTATTTCTCTGCCTATATTACTCATTTATTCATGCATACTGTGCAATTTTCCCTTAGGAGTCTTCACTTATAAATTGCTACTCAAAATTCCTGATATTAGACTTACAAACCTCTGCCATCTGAGTCTGGTTCTGATGCTTGTTTTAACTTTCTTATCTTTTGCCTGCTAGTAATGCTCTGCTGCATGCTCATTGTAAAATATACAAGCAAAAGAAAAATAGGAAATAGGGTTTTATGTTGAGGTTTTGTTTATCTGGCAGGGGTAAGGCAATCTTCACTGTGGTAAACACATCGTAGGTGTCACAGTAAGCTATAATTTCCCCTATAGTCTTATTTTTGAATCCCTACAAACTCTTATCTTTTTGGTTTGCTCTGCACATGGTTACAGTAGTTGTGGCTGGGGCCAAACCAAATTCAGGAGTCTGGAACTCAATCTGAGTCTACCAAGTCGTGACATGGACATGCACTCGTGTTGTCACTTGCTGCCTGCTGCCCATTTTCAGTAAGGTGGAACTGGAAACAGAACTGACTTGAATCCAGGCACTCTGATGAGATGTGGGCAGCCTAACAGGCCTTAAACTCTGCACTAGATGTCTACCACAGGAATAATTCTTTAACCATAGGATTAGATCTTAGCCATCTAGAGGTGGCCCTTGGTTGTGACCTTCAGGATTCTTGTCATTCCCTCCTTAGAAGTGGGGCTCAGGGTGGGGCAGCAGAAACTGGAGTCTAGATTGGATAGTTTCTACCTTTGGCAGAGGATTTTGCCCTCTGCTAAAATCTTTGTGGGTTAAGTACTGGTCAAATAGTTTTCCTTGAGAGAAGGCCTTTCTTAAAGAGGAGAGAAAGCATGTGGCTCAGTGGTCAGGGGCTAGACAACACTTGGGATGCCTGTACAGGAGGCCCCCACCATGAGGATGATGTCAGTGTGGTCGGGGAGCAGGGCTTTGTCATCTGTGTATGTTCAATGGCCTGACAATTCACT